CCAGTGCCTCACCACCCTTACAGTAAAGAACTTCTTCCTTATATCCAATCTAAACTTCCCCTGTTTACATTTTAACCCATTACCCCTTGTCCTATCTGCTCCTCTCTAAAAAATTACCTTCTTAAAACTCTTGATACCTAAGCTTAATACTGTGCTGTAACACGTACTTACTCACAGGACAGGACTATTACAGGAGTCAGTACTGTATCTGTTACATACAAATGCAAAACATTTAGAATAATGGAATTATTAGAATAATATTCTAAATTATTAGAATAATGTGGCATTAGTCTGAGAAATATTCAAGGAAAACTGCATGAAGGGAGGGTGCCAATAAACATTTCTCCATTACGATGCTCTTACTATAAAATAAAGACAACTTTTATTCCTTACTGTCTTCTGCAGTTTCAAAATAAGACATTCATTTAACTTTGCTGCCTTTAAAAACCAAGTATGTTAATACATCAGAATCCCTAGTGGCCTCTGAAGTACTAGGATCAAGTTGCTCTCTAGAATTCATAACACAATTTATCTCAGTACTACTAAAATCAGGCAGCAGAGACAAGCTTATACTAAAGTTAGAAGAGCTCTTGTGTGAAACAGGTCTGTCCTACATAACACCTTGATGAATGGCCTAGAGAAGAGAAGGAGTACAGGTGGGAAGGAAGAGCACCTTGCAGTGACACAGGCTGCTGACTGGCTCTGAGGAAAGGGACCTGGGGGTCTCCATGGGCAATAAACGGAACAGGAGGCAGCATCATGCTGACAGCAAGGGTGGCAAACAGCACCCTGGGCTGTACTAACAGGAGTGCAGCCAGTACATGGAGGAAAGTGATCACCCCCCTTTACTCAACATGTGTTAGATCCTATCTGGAGCAACTGCTCAGTGTTGTTACCCTGCCCCTACAGCAAAGACACTGATAAAGTGGACTGAGTGCAGTACAGGGCCACCGAGATGGCCAAAGGGACTGGAACACAGGCCCTGTGAGAAGCAGCCGAGGCTTCTTCAGCTGGAGAATGTACCAAGAAGACAGAACCAGACACTTCACAGCAGTGCACAGTGGGCAGATGAGACAACAAAGACCAAAACAAGAGAGGTTCAGCCTGTATGTAAAGCAAATCTTCACCCTTACAAGGACAGTCAGGCTGTGGCACAGAACACCCACGGCAGTGGTGCAATCTCTGTTGAGACGCTTTTAATATCCAAGCAGATGAAGCCCTGAGCAGCCTGGGTTACAGCTGGCCCTGCTCTGGGCAGGACGTTTGACCAGAGATCTTCTCAAGTCCCTTCTAACCTGAGTTACTCGATGATCCCACTTGAACCAGGCCGCGGAACAGACCCCCCCTCCCTGGCCTGTGAGAGCTGGGAGTCCTTGTGTGCCTTCAGCAAGTGCCTCCAAAGCTCTGCAGAACATCCGACCCGTCAGCTCCCTGCTTTTAGGTATTTCTGCCCTGCCTTCGAGGCTCACTATTCCTCAGCCTACCGCTCACGATCCACAAAGCCGCATGTTATTTTCTATTGCCGTGATCTCTGCCCCACTGCTGAGCTTCCCTGCGCCCTCCCCTCAACGCAGCAGCAGCGCAGGGCTCCCGAGGCCCGGCCCCGCTCCCCCCGCGGCTCCCGGCCCCTGGCCGCTACCTTGATCTCGCTGTCGAGGAGGCGCGTGCGCTGCACGATCTCCTCCGTGGACATCTTGAGCACCTCCTCGCCGACGCCGTCCTGCGGGGCACAGCGGCAGTGTCACCCTCGGCTCAGCCCGGCCCGAGCCCCGCCGCTCCCCGCCCCGCCACCGTAGCCCCAAGCCCAGCGGCAGCCCCGGCCCGCGGTCCCGGCCCCTCACCTCGGACTCATCCCACACCGACGCCATCTTTCAGCGAGCGACCGCACAACACGGCGGCTTCCGGGCGGCAGATTCCGCGCTCCTCACCCCGAGAACAGGGTGGGAAGCAGCGGAGGAGGCAACTCGGGGGCCCCGCGTCCCTTCCTTTTCCGCCTCTTCCTCAGCACCGCACGGCGGCCGCAGCCCTTCCGCTGCCGCCCGCAGAGCGGCCCGACGGCTGTGGCGAATCTGCGGGCGCGGATGGTGAGGGGGAACCACCACTCGGGTCACGTGGCCCGGGTAAATCTGCTGAGTGATGGCCCCGCCGCCATCTTGGGGCGGGGCAAAGGCGGGGCCCGGCCGAGGGCGGTGCCGGGCCCGGCTGCGGAGCAGAGGGAGGCGGCGCTGTGCCGGTACCGGCCCCGCCGTGCGCTTTATTGCGGTCAGTGCCCGTACAGAGGAGCGCGGTCGGGCCGAGCTCCAGCGCGCCGAGCCAAGGGGAGAGGTCGAGGGGACCCCGCCGCCCACCCGAGCACCGCGGCCGCTGAGGTGGGGCCGGCGCAGCCCGAAGGGCCCCGAGCACAGCGGGGCTGACGCGGTCCCAGAGGCACGGGTCGAGCCCCGCGGCAAGGTCAGACGTAGCCGGGCTTCACCGACAAGCGGCGGCAGTTGGGGCAGCCCCGGGTCCCGTTGGTCTGGAGGCACCTGCAAAGGGAGGAGGTTGGTTGGGGGGGAGGCTCTGCTCCCCAGCGCCGCTCCTGCGCCTGTTTCCTGTATTAACCACCTGGCATGGAAGATGCGCCCTCCCGGTCTGATCCCTCTTCCAGCCGTGCCGCGGAGGGCCCTCAGCACACCCGTCCTTACAAGGTCCTGCAGTGCTGGAGGCAAACCCAAAGGGCTCACTGAACACCTCTCAGCGCCCAGGAGTTTGATCCTAACCCTGGTGTCATTGGGGGGCTTTAAATTCTTAAATTGTGTGTCTTTACGTTGGTAATTTCAGCACCAAATGTTGGGTTATGCTCATGTTCCCCCTAAAATAGTGGTAGAGGTAAACTTTCATGGCAGTAGCACAGTAATAGGCTGGACACCTTCACCTCAGTGTGCCTGTACATGAGAGAGAAAAGGGGAAGAAATCCAAACTACCCTGGGTGTGGAGTAATTCACTAAGAGTCTGAATGGGGCTGGGCACCTGCAAGGTGAGGACACTGGTGAGCTACCATTTAGGGGACAGGAGTGAGATGGCCAGTATGGATAAATCCATCCCCCATGGCAGGGGGTTGGAACAAGAGTATCTTTAAGGTCCCTTCCAACCCAAACCTATGATTCTATGAAACCTCACCCTTCAAAGCCATGAGATTCACAGCACTGCAATGGGATCCTGTAGGGCAAAGCAGGACAAAGACCCAGGGAACAGCATGCATAGGGCTGTCCTACTCTGGTCACGAACAGCTCTTTCCTATGACTAACGTCATAGTACGTCCAGCTCATTACTTTAAGTGGAAGAAGTGGGAGCAAGGCAGCGCCTGGAGCTGGTTGTTCTTCTCCCCAATGGACTCTCCACACATGCCACAGTACAGCTCCATCTCCTCCACGCATTCATGGAACTTCACTACGTGGTCACGCAATTCTTGCTGCTGCCCCTTTGTGCGATAGATCCTTTCACACAGGCAGTGGAGCTTCAGCAGGCCAAGCTGCACACAAAGGGTGGAAACAAGAGAAGGGAACAAGATAAAGACAGACCGGGAACAGGAGTGGGAACCACTTCAGCCCCATCAGCCAGCTAGAGACACCAGTACAGAAACCCATCTGAGGGATAGGATCACGTATAAGGACATTTGGTCTCTCAGCATTTCCTGCCATTAACCCTGCTTCTCTGTATCACCAAAGGGGACACCAGGTTTGAGGACATCTGCAACTCTTTTGCTGATGGTTTTCCTCAGCGCTCCATGACATCCACTGCACTTTGCCTCCAGCCAACACACAGTTCAGCTGCTGCTCAGGACAATAATGTTTTTCAAGAAGAGACCCCCAATACTGTAGCTCTCTGCTTGTTTAATATCCCATTTTTACTGCTTCCCTTTCCCCTTCGCTCATCCCACTTTGACTCCTCCCTCACTTTTCAGACCTGCACACTGATGATCATCCCTGCAGCTGCCCATAGTTAAACACTTCACAACAAATCAAGTCCCCAGCATTGACTTGTTAGGGCAGACACATTAATCAGCAAGAACAAGTCTGGGTATTTCAACACTTGGCTTTGTGTTGAAGCCTACAGAAAGTGCTGAAGAGAAGCTGTAGGATCCTACCTTGTTCCCTAGTCCCTCTGCCAGCTCCTGTGCTTTTTCAATGCTTTCCAGAGCCTGTAAATGGAGAGCATGCATCATCAGTTCTCAATCTGATATATTAAGACCAGACTTGTGTGAATGTCCTATGGGAATTATTAAAAGAGAGAGGTAAACAGGTAGAGAGCAGAATTTGGACATAAACAAGCACCACTAAACTCTGGAGATGCAAGACAACTGTCTGGCAGACTTCCCCTCTCTCGTAAGAGTTCATCCATAAGAAAAGCCTGGTTTGTGAATGACCACAAATAATCCAAGAGCTGCGTTTCTGCTCCAGCCATAGGGTGCAAAGTGAAGGTATGATGTCGGCAGAGGCTGGCATTTCCAAGCAGGAGGAATACAGACTTAAACTCAGTCACACATGCCCATAGGGCCTGGGATGAAGCACAAGCAAATCAAGCCTCTTCCCCCCCTCCAACCCTACAGGTTCAATAGTTATTGGGCAAATCCAGTTTCCCTTGTACAAGAGGGGAGGAAGTGGATCAGCACCACCAACACACCAAGCTCTTCCATTTCCTCCCTGTTGTTACATATCCACTTTGTCCTACCTGCACATGGTGTGATACAGGAGTGTACTGCTATCCACCTTTTGCCATCTGAAGGAAAGTATTTAGCATAGCAGCCGTTATCCAGAATGAGTCCCTACTTTCCCTTAGATGCTATAGTGTTCCTCACTGCTCTGAGCATCAGTCTCTTTTTCCAGAACCGTTGGGATCTGCTTCAGATTTGTCCAAGGAAAAGAAGAGTTCTCCCTTGTGATGCAGGAGTTTATAAAGCTTCTACCCTATGTTTTGGCATTAACTATTCTAGGAGAAGGGGACCAGATGAGGACTGAATACAGAGGAGATGGCATTAGACCTGTGGTGGCAGCAACAGCCTAGGATAAGGAATGTGAAGAAGAGGGAAGCGGGAACTGAAGGCTACCAGTTAGAACATAACTGCAAGCTGTGCCTAGGAAGAGTGTCTGTGTACTAGAAAACCCTGAAATTAATGACTGGGACTAAGAAGCAAAGTGAAGCATGTGGGGTGGGGGGAGAGATGCTGAGAAGCTCAGGGAACAGTTATCTTGGAGAGGAATGTGAGACTGCACAAGAGTTTGAGGGAGCAGCCTGAGAGGATCTGCAATAGTACTGACCATAGAATCATAGAATAGTCAGGGTTGGAAAGGACCTTAAGATCATCCAGTTCCAACCCCCCTGCCATGGGCAGGAACCACATGCAAATTAAAGGAAATGGAGCAACTGGCTGAAGAGATTGGGAAGATGGAGGAAGCTAGGACAAGAATAGGGAATCTGTAAGCGGAGAGTTAGCAAACTGCTTTATTAGGTAACTGATAGTAGAATGAGGAGCATGAGAAATGGAAACCAGGACTGGCAAATTGAGGAACGGGCTTGGGTGAGTATTCAGAGCTATGACATCTGAAGAGGTCACATTTGGAAAATGGGAATAAGGTCCCTGACCCATGAGGGCACTAATGCCTGGAGCAGAATACAAGATTCACCTATTCATTTTCTTGGTTTTGGTGAGGTGAAGACTTGTGCAAAGCCTTCACCAGGCTCTCACAAGTGATAACTGCTTGTGGTACAGAGGGTGGCAATGGCTGGGTGTGCGATCAGCAGATGTAGGGGTTTGATGAGTGCTCTGAATGTTCTCTGCATGGAGGCCTACCTGCTGTGTCCTGTCCCATCTTTTGAACATGAGATGAGGCTGGGAAGGGATTATTACACTGAGCAGAGTTTTTAAATCCACAGTTTCTTCTTCCATTGCAAACAGTGTTTACTTGCTGAGACTGCAAGGTGTACCTCACGCAACTGATTCCCTGCTGTAGGCAAAACAGATGCCAACAGCACTTTGAGCTTGTCCTTTCTAACAGACACATACTTCATTTCCTAGTATCTGGGATTCTGTTTAAGCCAAAATTCTGTGTCTCATATGAGTGATAAGTGTGAATCTTCACCATATCTACACCCAAAGCAGCACCCTGATGTGGCACTGCACAGGCATTCCAGGTTCTTCAGCACTAGTTCAAGACTAGCCTTTTGAGCATCTCATTCTGCAGCCCAGCAGTGTTCCTGCAATGCAATCTGCTGTATCTAGTGCAATCTGGATTTTAACTTACATATGCTGCCTAAGCATTTTCAAAGTAAGTAAAGTCACCCACTTGCATTATATTGACCAGTTGTTTATTCCCAGATGATTTTTCTGCCCTTGTATGTTTCACATCAGTTTCTATGTCTTCAAAGTTTCTCTAGGAATTTGATGCCACGTTTGTCTGCAAAGCACATGGTGGAGCTGTAGAGCTGTTTAAATATCATCACTATTACAACAATGAGCTTAACTCATAGCTGTTAAGTAGGCAGTGGAATCTATTTCAGAGCATAAGCTGATTGGCTACAGTGTAGGAGTAGGCTTCCTTCCCTTAGTGCTGGTTTCTCAGTGTAGTGCTTAAAGTCATGAGGATTGACTGATGAGACACTGATGTGTTAGCAGTCTGACTCAGAATGGATATTCATACTGTTAGTAACAAATTCCTGGCTGAGAGAGACCATTTGGAGACGTGTTTCAATCAATAGACCCTGTTGATAGAACCAAGAGGTACAGGTCTCTACTGCATGTCAATAGGCACAGAGTGCAGAAAAAGCCATTATGCTCCAATCTTGTTTAATAAACAAGTTTGTAACTGACCTTGTCCAGCTCCTTCTGGATCATCCAGCACTTAGTCACTCCAAGCAGCACCTGGATCAGGCCCAGGCGGTTCCCAATCTCTGTCATGATGCTCAAGGAGGAATCATACCGAGGAAAGGCTGTCTGTATAAGCAGGGAGGAAAACATATTTTGCTATAGCCTGTTTTGCACATCCTCTTGCTATCCTCTCTGTCCTTCCTGGCAGGAAGGAGCTGTACCTGTATGTCTTTGCGACTGCGATGGATATCTGCAAAGCACAGCAGACACAGCGCTTGCAGAGGCCGGTCACCATGCTGCAGGGCAATCTTCATGGACTCCTGAAAGAAATTGTCTTTGGTCAGTAAAAAAGCTTATTCCTGGCTCAGAACAGCAGGGCTGGGGCTGTGCACTGCAGCCACAGAGTCTTGTTTGCATGTTCCCAACCAAGGGGAATTCATAGACCCAAACTTCTGAGCCCCCGCGTGCTACTGAAACCACAGCTCTAAGGCTGGGAAGCAGCAGGAACATGTAGAGACAAGTGCAAATGCCATGTACATCTCTTCCTCCCAGTCCTGTAGGCAAGATCCCCTTGCAAAAACCTGTGACAGCTCTGCATCTGCCTGCACCCTGTACCTCACAGCAGTCCATAGCATCTGCCAAGCGCCCCAGTTTCCGGTAGGCCACTGCCATGTGATACTGGCTCATTGCACGGTACTTCAAGCTCCAGCCCTTGCCGTAATCATTCACCAGCTCAGCTGCTTTACATGGGAAGAACAAGGCTTTCTCATAGTCCTGTAAGACAGACAGACACTAGTTAGAGCAAAAATAAATATTAAAAAAGCAATATTTTATTTACTAATATTTCTGTACACCTCTCAACTCCTGCTGCTCTGCTTCCACATGCTGCATTTCCCTAGATGTTTTCAGTGGATATCAAACTGGAAGGTGGAATTGCCATATACGGAGTTGTTATTACCCTCTGAGTTCAGGACACTGGGCAATGAAAGAGCAAATGAATGTTCTAAGGTCTGTCATGAGCCTTACTCTGCAGGAACCATTTACCCTCCTGTATAACCAAAGGCTGAAAACCTTCTCTTTTCTGACACCATCTCTGCTTTCAACATCTCCATGGAGCCCTTATGTTCTCCACACGGAAAGTCAGAATCTGGTTATCCATCATGTTGCAGGAAACAGGAACAAAGAATCATGGCCTAACCAAATCCAAAAGAAGTAATAATGTAACATATTTTCATTTTTAGGCATCTTTCTGGATTAAAAGCATTTTTAAAAGAAAACTTTACAATAATTATGTAAAACTATTATCCTTCTAAACCCATTCTCAAGTAAGTTACATGAGACTGCAGAGCTGAAGAAATCCTCACGTCTTTTAATTCTCCAAGATGCACATAGGAAACCTCAACTTTAAAAGGTTCCTTTCTCCCTTCTTATTTCATACCTTCAAAGTATCCAGCACAATGTTATTGCCTTTACTTTTGGTATTATGAGAGAGGTTTACAGATAGTTCTCAATGCTTCAGTTGGCAAGTTTTCCACTAGTGACAAAAATCAAGACTTTGTGAGGAAAACTTATTTGTTCCTGTTTGCAGTAGAAGTTAGAATTGGCAAATCACCCCCATCCTCAGCTCCTGCCTGGTTTTGCTCACAGCAAGGACAAGGGGTAATGGGTTAAAACTTAAACAGGGGAAGTTTAGATTTGATATAAGGAAGAAGTTCTTTCCTGTTAGGGTGGTGAGGCACTGGAATAGGTTGCCGAGGGAGGTTGTGAATGCTCCATCCCTGGCAGTGTTCGAGGCCAGGTTGGATGAGACCTTGGGTGATAATGGTTTAGAGCGAGGTGTCCCTGCCCATGGCAGAGGGGTTGGAACTTGATGATCTTAAGGTCCTTTCCAACCCTAACTGTTCTATGATTCTATGATTCAATAGCTATTTGCCTGTAGTAGTGGTGGAAGTAGAGAATCTCGGAGTTCTGGCTGCCAGCCCTGTGTACAGACAGTACCTCTACTGATGTGATCTTCTTTGTAGCTAAGTTTGATCTTTTCAACACAGCTGCTTCTGCTGTGCTGTATAAACACTGCACTAATCCTGCCATCCTTACTCTGAAGGATAGTGATTTTACAAAGAAGATATATTAGCTTACAATGCTCTCTCTTTACTTCCTACAGCAAAGCAATAACCTAAAATCCAGTTCTCTCCTGAATCCGTGGCACAATCTCCCTCCTGTCCCTTAGTGACCTCACCTTTAGCTGCGCATAGAAGTTCCCAAGGCTGCAGCAGACTCGACATTCCAGCATCTTGTCATCATTGTTGTGTGCGTAGCGTAAAGCCTTCTCAAAGCACTCCAGAGCCTTCTGGAAGGTGCTGAGGCCCAAGAAGGCATTGCCCATGCTGAGGCTCACCTGGCCATTCAGCTGCAGGCTCACCGTGGTACCCTGCATGTTCAGGCACGTCTTACAGTAAGAGATTGTTTTCTGGAATTCACAGAGTTTCTCATTGCTGCGAGCCAGGTTCAGGTAGCTCTCTGTAAGGAAATCTGGGTCTTCCAGCTCCCGTGCTGTGTCAATCTGTACCACTGCAAACTTGAAGTAGAAAAGACAGTGTAGACAGTGTTCATAAAAACATATAGTCGATTTAAATGCAGCTCAAACACCCACAGAATAGCACCCTGTACTGGAGAAATGGCTCATCTCTGAGCAGGGCAAAGTCCAGCAGCACAGACTGAGAAGCATCGTCTACACTGAGCAGTTATCTGGTGGTTTAAAAGGTCTGCGAGCAGCCTGAAGAAGCCTCTCTCTCTACACATTAACTCGGCTGGTGGTTAGTCAAAGAAAGCTGTTAGATAGCCCTAAAGAGAAGCAGGACACATCTGACACACTGCTGCTCAGTTTTCTTTCACTCACTTTAATTTATTCCACTTTCTCTGAATTCTTAAGATGTTAAGGTACCCTTTAATAAGAGTAAACAAGCTCCTACTTTCATCAGTTTTTCCACAAACAAATTTGAGTTTTCACAGTTTTTGTTCTATTACCTTCAGCATTCGTTGCATACAGTTCTCTTAAGTGACTTGAAGTCTCTTTCTTTTAGACTGCACACTCTTCTGAGCAGCGACTCTTTAGTGTTCTGTGGTGAACCAAGCACACTGCTGGCTTGAATTAATACCAGTGGCAAAGGTAAATATATAGCAATTTTCTCTGTATGTGTTTTCATTACAGATTATCAGGTTTATGGATAACAATTCCCAAGGGCACCAATTACTTCCTTTTCTTCTATAGCGCCAACACATAATAATTGAAGCTATTAGAGCATTTTATATTCTTCACAAAATGAACAAAAAAAACCCCCAACCACAATTGCATGTATTTGGGGATGTATGTTCTCAGTTTCCTTCACACTGTAGGAAAGCTGCTGTATGGACCCAGTACTGTGCATTAGCTCATGGCTCCCCGCCTTCCCTTACCTTTGTGCAAGTTGTTCATTATTTCCTGATTGCCACAGCCTCTTTCCTTGGTGTGGAGTAATATTTCTCTCCATCATAACCCTTCTGAAATCACAGTTCATTTCATGCCTTTAATTCTGCCTCCTTTTCTCCTGTTCTTTCTTTTGCTAAAGTTTTCCTTCCTCTATTTTTGATCACTCATGGTATAAAATCTTCAGTTTGACTGAAGCCATTTTTTCTTCCTAATACTGGAAAGAACTAAAATTCACCTGTTCTGATCCCAGTTTCCATTCTCTGATAACAAATTAGGGTTCAGCCATATTCTGTGATTCTATACTGACCCCACTCCTCTGCTTGTTTCTTGCTTTCCTGAGAAGTCTTCAACTATTTCCTTCAGGTAGCCACAGCTTTTACTTCTCCCTAATCAGTCTCTGGTTTCTGCCACCACCTAATTCCACATCATTATCAGAATTGTTTCTGTTCAGATGTTTTCCAAGTGTATTAATTACCCTCTTTTCTTCTTCACCCTAAGTATTTGGTTTTAAGACAGGGCATGGGTTTACTAGTAAGATGTGCTCTCCCCCACTCTGAATAGAGCTCCCAAAATCCTTTAACTGAGATGTGGGCTCCTGTTCACATTTTGTGCTAAATGCTGAATAATTACTAACCTAGTAAGAGGCAAACCAAAACTGCAGGACAAGAATATCAAGACCCTTTAGCAAGCCCCTATTTCAGGCTGTGATGGTTTCTTAAGACTATTACAACATCCTGTTGCCTCGTTTCCTAGATTCCTGAGTCACCCTCCCAAACACTGCCTGCTGCTCTCTATGTGCATCCTGTTACTTCTCGCATCCACACATTAGCTTTTTGGCTCATTTAATCAAATGTATTTATCCTCATACTCTTGAAATGTGACTTGAGCTTTTTTTTACCACTCTTCCATCAAGCCCTGTATACCTTTCTTCTGTGCTGTCCTGACAACTGGGAGTCCCTCTCTGACCTCAACATTCTCTCCTGGAATGTCACAATCCCCCTGCCAAAAAAGCATCCTCCTTCCCCATTTAGTCAGCCCCCTTGCAAACAAAGAATTGTAATAAAACCAATGTAATGTCTATATTAGATGTCAAACATCATCTGAACAAGATAACAGATACGTCTTTACAATGTAGACAGCTGCTTATTCTACAGAATCCACATGGAGATCCTTTTACAGACATACGCAGTGTAAACAGCTTCAAGTGCAACAAAGGCCCTGTTTTCATCTCTTTTCCTGAAGCTTGGTTGTATGGTGTGCCTGCATGTGGAGAATAGATTAAGAAAGGTCCCCGTGATTAACTGGAGAAGCACAATAACCTGGGAATCCTGAGGGACCAGACCCTATGAAAAGTAGTATACTGTGTGTGTTGTGGGCTGCAGTTAGTATTAAACACAGTGATTACAGCAGCCCACAATCTACACTCAATAGCTGGTATGTTCTACTATATACAGAATAACCCCCCTGATTTCACATTCTGATCTCCAGCCACTCTCCGCAGTGGGTACCACACCATGGCATGCATTCATCTCCAGTTCCTTACCTTCAGCATATCTTTGTATCTGCCCATCTCTGCGTGAGCAGTGATGAGGCAACCCAAAACCCGAAACCTGCCAGCAGGATCCGCAGACTTCTCCAACACCCTCATCCAGACTCGCAGGGCTTTTTCGGTCTGATTAGACTGGTAAAGATGGAGTCCTTTCTCTATCTGTTGCTTTGTCTGGTCCTGACCCATCTCCCATGCATTAAAAAGCCTCATACACTAACCTATAAGGACAACAAAAAGCAAGTGCATAGAAGAGAACACAACATAAAATGCCCTGATAGAGGTGGGCAGGTTGTGTGCTCAGAAGGTTTGGAGCCATAAAAGCCCACCCATGGCAGGGGGCTGGAGTTGTGGTAGGCAATGGCAAGAAGTGGTTGCTCGGCACTGTAGAATCCCAAATCCAGTGGGCAAATGGCTTGCTCGCTAGGGCTCCATCAGTGCATCCGCCTGTCCATTCCCATAAACAAAGAGGAAAAGCACAACAGGCAGGGAAAGAGAAAAATCCCAAGCAACAGGAATGAAACTCAACCCGAGCAGCCCGTGCTGGTCTGCTCCCCATTGGCTGCAGCTGTGCCTGCCAGTCTGGCTCACGTGGCTCCCAGGAATGCTACTCAGGCTTCCCTGCTCCCAAGGTCACGGTGAGCCAACTGCCCACGCCTGCCCGCCCGCACACGGCTTATAAACAGCCCATGGGGAGACAACCAGCACAGTCACAGGGAGGTCTTGATTGTCCTCTCCCTCTCCCTCCAACCATCCTGTTTGCCAAGCACTGGTGGTGCTGGGCTAAGCTGGGAGGTGGCAGCCTCAGCTGGGAGAGTAGCTTTAGGAACAATACGTGCCTTTAAGAAGGTATGAACTGGGCTCCAGCATATACACGTGCAGTGTTACGCTTGCAGCAATGTGCCAGGTACTTTACCAGGCACAAAATCCAGCTTTGCTTTTGAGGACCACAGCTGGCCTTTTCCATGGACAAAGGTCTGCTCTGGTACAGATTTACTGGATATGGCACTGAATTCTGAATTTCAGGGACAAGGAACTAACCATCCTGAAAAGCTTTGTTCATGACTGACTGTTGCTCGTTACCTTTTGATACCTGTGACAGTTCTCCAAGAGTTTTTAGTGGAAGATGCCAAAGGCACTGCTGAAATTCTGCATCCAGAACTTGCTGATCTTTTATGATGAATGACAATAATCATAGAATGGTTTGGGTTGGAAGCGACCTTAAAGCTCATCCAGTTCCAACCCCCTGCCATTGGCAGGGACACCTTCCACTAGAGCAGCTTTCTCCAAGCCCCATCCAACCTGGCCTTGAACACTGCCAGGGATGGGGCAGCCACAGCTTCTCTGGGCACCCTGTGCCAGCGCCTCAGCACCCTCATGATGAGGAATTCTTTCTTGACATTTAACCTCCCCTCTGTCAGGTTAAAGCCATCCCCTTTTGTCCTGTCCCTAAAGCCCCCTGTCCAAAGCCCCTCTCCAGATTTCTTGTAGACCATTTAGGCACTGGAAACCTCCGTAAGGTCTCCCTAAAGCCTTCTCCAGGCTGAACAAGCCCAGCTCTCAGCCTGTCTCCATAGGAGAGGTGCTCCAGCCCTCAGAGAAACTTCGTGGCCGCCTTCTGGACTCATGAGTCTAATGACCAAAATTACTCTAATGACCCAAAGCAACAGATTTCTGCACCTTCTGATTGTGTATGAGAATTGTTTGCCCAATTAGAAGATAGTTTTAACTCTCCTACACACCTTTGAAAGTAGACTGGTTCCTCTAGGAGTCCAGTTTCATGCAGCCATTGATGTGCTGTATTTGTTATGGGCCTGGTCTTGGTTATCTATAGATTTACTCTGTCTTTCCTAAGAAGAGATATCATACTTGAAGGGCAGGGGGAGGATGCCTCAGGGAAGTCTTGTGTTTTTCAGATACAGAAGTCCCAGACATGTGTTTTGGGATCATTTTACAGGCCAAAGACAAGAAATGGCAAATCAGGGTTTTAATGACAGACCCACATGCAGGGGTGTCTCCAGCTGCCTCCCTGCTTCTATGTGAATTCAGTGGCAGTTCTTCCACAAGCAAAGGTAAATACCATCCCACAGGCCACCACATCATGGCTGCCTAAGGAAACAGAAACCCAAGGGAGCCTTCTGAGGTAATGTCCCTAAGGACAGGACACACAAGAGTAAGAAACCAGTCCACCCAAAGGCTTTACATCATTGTAATGATCATAAGGATCTTAAAGAGATTCCATCCATACCTGTATCCGAAACATCCTTAGAAAAAGTTTTAGAAGCAAAGCACTTTAAATGGTAGAAAAGTCTTGCTTCAGTCAAGACTGATTCTCTTTTGGGAGTTTATATACTCTATGACATTTGCATGACTAAGTTTAGCATTGTTTCTTCAGAGCAGGGATGTGCCAGATGATGTTCCAGTACAGACTCCATGTACTCTCAGACTCTGGAAGTAGGAACTGTGGGAAAACCCCCCAAGAGTGCTGAGGCACAGCTGGTCACTGTGCAAAATCACTTCAGCAGCACTGTTTATCAAGATACTTTATAGGTTTTAGGGCTTCCATAAAGGTCCAGTTCAGAATTTTAAGTCTCTGCTCCCTGCAGTCATTCTTATGTGTCTCTCTGGAGGGGGGTGGTGGGATGGACACAAGATGCAGAAAACTGAGCTGCATGGAATGCACTGAAAATGGTGAGGGCATCACATTTCAGGACTGGAGAAGAGGCCAGGCACTGCAAACATTGGAGTCTGCTACATGAAAGAATCAAGCCAGGACTCAAGGAAGGGAAAACCAGAAATGACATCGTATCTGCTGGACAGACTACTTTCTAAACTGACCTTCCACAAGTAACCTGCCTATACCTCAAACTCATCCTGATGCTTTTGGGACACTTCACCAAAGCACTTCTCCCTTTAGTATTCACTGTCATGTTGCACAGAGAAAAGGCAAAGTGAGAAAAGGATGCCTTGCAGTCTGGCAAACCCCATGTAACAGCAGGAGAATGATCCATCTATCCTGCATTTTGTTGATCACACCGTTCTTGTTTTTGAGCTCTCCTATGAAACCATGCTTAAGTGCCTTAAGAATCAACTCACAACTCGCTTAGTGAGATAAAAACATACCCTAGTAAAGTAAGATTGAGCTCCATCAAGCTCATACTGGTCATTTTCAAAAAACAGAAATATATTCTTGACATGGAACATCCCACCCCAAGGCCAGTGCAGCTGCCTAAACAAGGAGGGGTAAATGCGTAGAATCACCAAGACACTGACTACCTGTGCTGCTTCGAGAGAGTAATGGCAGAGTGATCATCAGTCTGTGGCTCTAGTTTGTGCAAGACTGAGGTACAGCTTCTACAGTAAATGGCCCACAGTTTCTTCTCAGGAACTGCAAATAAGCAAGCCTGGAAGGTGCACGGAAACTCTGTTAGGGAATCTCACCTGTCATGCAGTGGAGCTATACACGCAGTGTAGCTAATCACACAGTCACTTCTTCAGAGTGACCACACTGAGCTGCTTGTCCTCCTCCCCGCTGGTCTTCATAATGCATCCTGGTGACTCCTGGCCATATGAAGACAGCAGAACATGGCTGGTAAAGTCAGGAAGATTGGAGACTGGAGTCAAAACAAGTAGTGAAAGGTGGAGGTGGGTGCGAGAGGAAAAACTACTTCTAAAATATTCAACATCAGGACTTAATCGACGGGTTTGTGTCTTTCCTACTGATGTTGACAAATGTAACAACTCATGTGAAATGTGGATTCTTATCGAACACACTGGCTCTTGATACATCTACCCACAGGGCTCTAGTGTCAGCTCTGTAAGATACAACTGACAGAGCTTTGTGTAAGGGAAGTCTTGCCAAGTTCTTGCATAAGCAAGAATCTTCCATCCTGCCTCAACAACCCCTTTTTCTGACTCAATTGTTTGTCTCCATCCTTCACCTCAGACGTATCTGAACTGAAATCTCCCCAGCCTCCCTTCTCAACAGCTGCAAATTAACTGCAGGGATCCCAGCACACTCTGTAACAGATGGCTTAGTGCCTCGCATCGCAATTGGTGTGCTGCAGGGACAGGAATGCAGCGCTGAATCCCAATGCTTGCAAGTGCTCTCAGATTTACAATCATGTAGGAAGTAATGGGGTGGAACCGAGTATGCCAGATAACAGAGGAAAAGGACACAGAGGAGAAACGTAGCTGCCCTGAAAGCGCTTGCAGTCTCTGAGATGCAAGACAGGAGAAGGAAGGAGGAACATCACTGAATTTGAGGAGCTTTCAGAAATGTGGCAAAGTCACGGCCATTGTGGTACTTTCCTTCTGAGAGAGGCAATATTCATGTCAAACTCATGGCAAGTTTCTAAACAGATTATACTTCGCCTACACCAAATACTTGTTTAGTATTCATTTCACATGATTAACATATCATAGTTCTAAAAGCAAAGTCGGTAAACTTCTCCTTATCACAAAACCTGAACTAGGAAATAATCCCAACCCACTGGTTTCCCTGTGTAGTATTTCCAGGGCTGGGAGCACTGAGGCAGAACCAGGACAGGTTCAGGAACCTTGGAATTGTTCCGGAGGGGTAAGGAGGCAGTGGCGGGTATGGGGCTCATAGGAGCAGTATGAGCTGGTGCCTGTCTAATCCCACACACCACCACGCACATGTGCTGTCTCTATATAGCTAAAGTCTGGTGTCACACTGAAGTTATTTAGCCCCTGAAACACCATGAAGTACAGTGCCTGGCCAGGCAAGCGGCTACACAGTGCCAAATCTTACAAAATGGAGGCTATACAACCCCAAAACCTTCCCCATTTCTATTCAAAGCAGCTCATCTACATCCAGGGCTACACTGTACAACCAGAACACGTGGTGCTGGACCATGAAGCTCACAGCTAAGTAAATGGAAGATTCCCTCATCTCTCTCATCTTCCCACCCAGAAAGAACCTCAAGTTTGAGACACAAATACAACACACAAGGACTCTTCTCAAACAGTTTAATAGCAAATAAACAAAGGAAGGTACCACACTTGGCATATACAAAATGACTTGTTGTCGGTGTGTCTGTGCAATTAAAACAGCTTTAAGTTGCCCTTTGGGACAAAAAAAAAAAAAAGGAAAAAAAAAAAGAAAACACACACACACACAAAAGGAAGAAAATTCCTTTAACACATACTCGCTCGTTCCAAACTTGTAACAAATCTTTTCATCTTGAAATCCACTACACAAACTCTGCCATCGGATCAGAAAAGCAACGCGTGCTCCTCTGTGTTTTAAACCATTAAAGTAAAATCTGTAATTCTCTACAGAGTACAACACAATTTCACACAAAAAAAAGACATTTTTGTTTTGCAAATCAAAACAAGAAAAAAAAAAGGAACAGCTCAAAACAAGGTAAAGAAAAGCATTTCTACGACTGAACCACGACTTCGAGTTGATTAAATCCCATTACTGCAGAACAGACTCTACATTTGGTCATAGTGGCAATTTGTTTTCTCGTCACATTGTGAATCACTTTACATTGTTTTCTAGTAGAAAAGGCAAAAAACTGTACAAAACCCCTAGTGTTAAATACAATGTTTGTACCAATAAAAAAGCCCACAGGTTTGTCTCCAAAATGTAAATTTTCTTTTTAAATTATTCACAAAAAGCAGCCAAAAATCAGAAAGGCAGCTGCTGCTCCACTGTCTCAAATCCATTAAAACCACCACAGAACAATTAAAACAACCAAAGGAAGAAAAGGAAAGAAGAAAGGAAAGAAACACCCAACGTTTGGCATTTTGGTTTTCTTCAGATAGTTTTTCCACAGGTTTCTCCAAAGTTCCTGATGGAACCAAATGCTCACATACAGAAACGTACTGGCAGTTACTCAATACACTGCAGGGTACCAGTGGCCCCCACTGACACACACCCCTGTGCATTCAGACTGTGGGACTAACAGCAGCCAGCCCACAACCCTACCTCCCAAATAAACAAGGCTCTATCCTTTTATCATCCAGCCTCATGCTTTACTCCTAGGTGTATTTACCATATCCAAACGTGGTCTGTCCTGTGAGCAGATTAAGGACTGTCACCACAACTCTAGCCAGTATCTACTGAGGATATCCTCAGCCAACTGAGTAGGACAGAAAAGAAATCCTTTTGCATCTTTGCATTCTCCCAAACACTGGACAAAAGTGAGATTTACATCCAATCAAACACGATTTATTTTCTCAGCAAACCCCTTTCTCCTGGAATTTCATTTCACATTATTTTCTACTGTTAAGTTACCTACACGAGCTTGCTTCTCCTTGCAACTGAAACTTCATCACAGTACACACTCTTCGTCTAGAAGCTACATCCCACTTTCTACCTGTGCAAATGGTACGTAGGGTGGGGGGAAAGCCTGCTACCCAGAAAGCAGTAACCTGTTCTAGTTCATTCTGCGAGCCAGAAACAAAACTGCTTAGCTCATTACCCAATTAAAAACTAAACAAAAAGTAAAAAATCTCCGGAGAGATTCCCCAGCTAAGGCCCTTGAGAAGAGAGCTGGGGATGGTACCCTGTTCAGGTAACAGCTGCAGAGGCTGTTGTATTGTGCTTGTCGCTTGGGAAAAGAGCCAGCAGTTGTGGGACCAGGTTTACAAATGCTTTCTCTGGGGTATTTCCATCACTTTATTTCAAGAGCTAACCCAGACCTTCCTTTCCAGGATCCTGCCATCAAGGTCTGACTGATGGTATTAAACTGGGGCTGGATTTGACACTAATGTGCCCTGAATGCTACAAAAGCTGTTTCAAAGGAGCCCTAGCTTCAGATAACTTTGGAAACAGAAACACTGTGAAGTTCCCCCACCTTCCTGCTCTCCAGCTATCTCCTTCCACCAAAACTTCCAGTACAGGAACAGTACAGCCAAGCCCCCTGGGTGCCTCTGACAGCACTGGAGATGGAGCAAGGTCCAGGTGCTCTGTCAGGCAGACAGTCTAAGTGCACAGGTAGATGCCCTCAGGTGGCTTCTGATCAGATAATTGTCATTACCAAAAACACCAATTTAAAGGATACCTTTGAAACCCATTAAATTGCTCAGTTTTTGCACAAACTATAGAAAACAGAGAGGTGAAGGTGATATATACGAGGGTGTGAGGAAAACAGCAGGAAACATGCAAAACATTTCTGGGCACTATCTTAGTTTGAAGGATTAAAACAGAAACATCACATTTTGCTGAGGAGATTGTAGTTACAAAAAAAGAAACCCAAGCATGCCGGAGCTTAACAAAATACAACATCAACTTTGATCAATTTTTCACTGCAGACTGATAATCACACAGGGAAGCAGGGGAAAAAATGAAAATAATAAAAAAAGTCAATAAATCAGGGCAAAAAAATGTAGCTACAATCAGAAGAAAAATGTAGTTCAAGTGTTTTCTGCTGATGCCACTCAAGTCACAAGTCTGAACTCATAAAAACACATGCTGTCTCCTCAAGCCCAGAAACCAGATCAGCAAAATGTGACTGGGAAGTCTCCTGAAAGATTGAGTCACACCATAGAATTGACCTTCTCTTCGAAACTGTGTTGTTTTGTGGTTTTCCCAACTAAAGCACACAGGAAAAAAAAAAACAACCCTAAGCCTCGAAAGTGATTGGCTGTATGTTCACAGAAATACAAATACTCACAAGGTATGCTAGCAAGGCTGCTCTGAAGACAATTACAAAGAATCAGATTCACAAAATCAAGTGGTTATCTTACGAAGGTCTAGAAAAATAGAAATTCTTTTATATTCAAATGCAAGTTTAAATATTCCCCTGCAGCAGTCTTTCTAGCAAAACCGATTTGGCAGCACGGAAATAAAACAAAACCCAACCAAAAGAAAATAAAAAGAAAGAAACAAACGTAATAAAAATACACATCAGCGTCAAAGGTGAACACAAGGTCAAAGGTGAGAGTTCAAGCATCAGAGAAGCTGAAGAGACAAGGATTTGGACGATGTACTTGAACGCCACATCGACATGCTTTAGGCACAACGATGAACAAACGGCAGGAATCTAGAAAAAAAAACAAACCAGAAAGAGGGAGACCCACTGAGTTACACAGAGCAGTACATCCAAACACGGAGAGAGAGAACAAGAATGGGCACTGTACAATGAGATCTCCTGGGGAAGGGAGTTGACAGGGGAAGGGCAGCACATGCCAACGATGGACAAGTAAAAGTCGAAGTACATGAAGGACACCAAGTAAACATCAAACTGCCAGAAATCAAATCAAAGCAGAGGCCTGGATTTCCCTCTCAACACCCAGTCTGGGGAGCTTTCCACAGCCCAGTGGCACATTGGTTAGCATGCATTCACCTTGCCCTGTGCCCAGTGTCTGCACTAGCTCTGTTTAGGAGGAGAACAGAGCAAGCTCCCTCCCCAGGAGACCAAGTCCAAAAAATACGGCTCCAGGGCTAACATTTGCCCACAGAGACTGAGACCATGAGAGACAAGACAGAGGACAAAAGGGATTCACAGGTGGTTTGACGGGCGAGACTTTTCCTACACCCTAACGTGCGAAGTTCTTAGGCAGTGGTAGCCCAGGAAATCATGTTCCTTCCTTCAGCTACAGTCCCTTCTCATTCGCTAGGAGCCCATGAAACTGGGGTGGGTGATTTGGAACAAAGGGGAGGGGTAAAAATAGTTAATACAAGACAAACCCTCCACATATTAGAGAAGAATTCCTTAAGACTTGACTGCAAGTTAAGACTTGTCCTAGCTGAGCACTTTTCATGCCATTAGACCTACACAGGGATTTTCTGTTCCCAGCTCCCTGACTTCATGTGGAGGGGATTCTGGGCTCTGAGAAGCTCTACAGTCACTGTTGCCAGTTTGATGAATAGAAAAAAATCTGTTTTCTGAAGCTTTCTTGATGAGTTTATAAATAAAATAATTGTTCTATTAAGTGTTAGAAATACCTTTGTTTTCTCCCCTCAGCTTGTGAGCTGTGCAAGAAACAAAGAACATTCTGGGATCCTAAACCAGAAAGGTAAATTCATCACAAACTGAGGCATGAGAAACAACAGGCATGAAATCAAGTGACATCTAAGTACGCACCACAGAAATTCTTTGTGTGATTTGTTTGGGGTTTTTTCATAGAGATTTTCCAATTATTTCACTCAGGAACTTTGAGAAGAAAGACAAAGTTTCATTAAAGCCCTGAGGAAGGACTGGCCTGCAAGAGCAGAGCCATGAGATGCTGGATAAGAACTTAATGAATTGTGGAAAGTTATTCCAGTTTGTTTTATTATCACAATTCTGGCAGTTCTGCCTTCTGTGGTTTATATTTTGTGGTAGATATGCTCAGGGATACATAAACATCCTTGCGTTTAAATGTTTGCAACAAGAAGCTCTCAAAGCATTTTATGTGCTCATGGCTGAACCCTCTATTTGAGATTTGCTTTATCCAAACTGCTTTTAGATAGTTCCAAATGAAACGGGACAATTTCATTCTGCTTGGCTGTTCTTCCCTAACTCTCAACCACTAACAGAAGAAACACTTCAATTAACTCCAGCATGCAAGCAGAATCTGTACTGCTACATGATTTTCAGTATTCAGATTAAAGGCTTTTCCCTTATATTTGCAGGGAGAAATTTTCTGAGGTTCCTATTCTCCAGTGAGTAGTGCCCACAGGTAGAAAACTGCTTCACCGTTAAAGCGATATTCACCATCACTGTGTCAGGTACTTTTGAAAAATTCCAATCCTCATTCTGTTTAGGATTAGAATTTAATCATTAATTATGAAAAGCATTTTTAATAATGCAAGTTTTGTATTACTGGAAGAAAAACCTAAGCTACAAAGAGATAATCCTATTTTGGACTATTAATTATTGAGGGGACTGAAGACTGATTTTCTTTACTACAGTACTTGATACGAAGTGGCATCAGACTAAGACTCCAATTGTTCACAATACTTGTATCTTATTATGGCGTATCTAGTAAAAACAACGTGAGAGAAAAATAAAATGCATGAAGTAGACCATTTTTGTCTTGTTTCTAAAAATATTAAGTATTTCCTGGTGGCACACGGAATTCCATTTCAATAAAATACCTACTAGCTTTTGTTGTAGAAAATTCAGATTCTTTGGTTTATAAGCATACAGAATACTTTGTCCATGTGGCTACTTAAGCCAGTCCTTCTGCAGTTCATTTGAACTCACCCAACCCTTATCCTCCTTATCCAGGATATAAAATATTTGACACTGATTTGATTTGCACTTGAATGAGAGCATGATAGGAATTAAAAAGACAATAAAATTTAAAAGCCCCAAGTCCCCAAAATCCCAGACTTCCTTGCCAATGAGTGAGGAAGCAACCTGACTTAAGACTGGAAGGTAAAGGACAGCCTAAATCTCCAGAGTCAGTGGCAGCCACCAAACAGACACAGAAATGTTGACTTCATCTGATCAGTTCTGTTATCAGAACAAAATCTGCCCAAGTCACAAACTCAATACATTTATTAACTTTGGCAACATATACATACACCAAGAAAGGGAAATCTGAAACAAATACACAAAGAGGGCAACATCTTCAGCTGGTGAAAACTGATGCAGCTCTTCTGAACAGAGCAGAACTGCACTGATTCAAACCATCTGAGGATCACACCTTTTAAAACTTAACCTGCATAGATTTGTTTGGTTTTTTGTTTTCTTTTTGCTTTTTGGCAATACTTACAGTTATGCCAGTAAGGCACAAGAGCTAGCCCAAGTTAGGTGTCTTAAGGTGATTATGTCTGGGAGGAGTCACTGATCAAACTAAGCCACAGAGTAAACTGGGCAATCTCCTAAAGTCAATAGGAGTTGCACCTATTCGCAACAATGCCAAGCTTGATCCGTAAGTTACAGTATTGAGGACACACTATAGGATGCAAAGCTAAAATATCTACTTTTGGGCAACTGAAATGACTTGTGAAGAGGCCAGAGCATCAGGTTAAAAGAAAGACAGGATAAAGGTCTTGGATAGTACAGTGGGGTAGGGTGCAAAGAAGGTAAGAGTGACTGTAGAGACCCCAGAGCACAGTGCTCTCCTCCACTGGTTCACAGCGTTTGTCTTCCCCCTTTAGCAGTTGTTGGGCTGCAAACAGGCCACTGAAAATCAGTAGTTTCAATCATGCACATCATTATGTGTGTAAAACAATCACATTCAGGATTCTACAAAACCCTGGCCTTGGTTTTTTTAATCTTTTCCAGTGAAATAATTTAGGTAATAAATATTCTCCACCCTGGAGCAGTATAAAACTTCTATAAAAATAGAAACAACATTCTTGGTTACAGCAGGTTGCACTCGGAGCAGTTGCTCCCAAATATGTTGTTGGTTTATTTTTTTTTGTTTTTTTTTTCCTTTTTTTTTTTTTGAAAAGTATATTATTTATATTTAAAAAAAAAAAAATCCCATTGTCACCCTGGAGGCCTTCACACTCCAACACTCTGTTCTCAGAAAACCAGGACGCATCTTTCCCATCATGCAGAATTCAAGTGTACATGGTTCACTTCAGTGTATGTTCACGTTTCTAGAGAGTCAAATAATTAACATAGAAGGGTACCACATGCCAGCATAATGGAAATTTGGCAATCTGGCCTCTGAACCTTTGCCACCACAAAATGATTTGGATAATACTGACAGATTTACCTGTCTGCCATCAGTACAGACAGACTGGCATCAATGGTTTGAATTTCAATTTAAGAATGGAAAGGGCTCTTCTTGGATGCTACAGGTCAGGCCTTGTACTTCTTAAGTTTGAGATCTCAAGAGGCCCTGTCCCTGGGAACACCAACACTCCCAACAGACCAGCAACATTCCCAAGAGACCACGAGATCTCAGGTTTGATGGGTTTAGTGCTCCTCCTGCTGGAGCAGAACAGGAAGTCTCAACCCTACGTCTGACCCACACACAGCCTGGCTCCCAGACTACAGTATTAACTGGGAAACAGCATCAAGAACCAGGAATACAAATAAAACAAGGAGAAAAATGAGGTAAATGGAACTTCTGTTAAAGACACACAAAAATTGTAAACTTCCTCTTGTGACAGAGGTGGATTTGGTGGTTATAAAATGGGACTCTTGATTTCTTAGAAGAACTCAGGCCAGAGTGTCAAAAGTCCTTTGAGCCCCCTAAAACCAGTGTGTAACAAAGGCCCTTAGCAATGCATTAGCAATTTCACAAGTGTGCAGAGAAAGCGTGTGTTCATTGAAGGGGTGTGTTCAGTTTTCCTTCAATATAGAAGATAACAGCTAGTACCAAAAGGCAGAGTAAGACTGAATGGCTCAATGCTCTGCTCTGGTTCCACAGCTCCTGTGTTAGCCTGTTTTGCATTGGTACACACCACCTTAAAGGAAAACTGCAGTATAAATAAATACCTAATTACTAGACTAAATCACGGCACAAATTGTTTAGAAAACAGAACACAACAGGAAGTTATCTTTGCAACAGAGTCAAGACTGAGAAATCAAACCCTGTAAGAACATGTATGAAACAGGAGCCTCAAGAGCTGTGTTAGGGTAACTCTGGGCTTTGTATCTCAACTGAAGTAATTTTAATAGAGAAACAAACAGCACTTATATTATGCTTATCACAATGAATTCAAAGTAATATTCTGCAAAAAGGACATTATTCCACAGAATAGGGGGAATTCCACAGAAATGGGGAATGTGATGAACTTTAAGAAGAAAATTGTAAAAAAAAAAAATAATCTGGAGATTATCAGGGATCAAAAGTTTCTCGTTTCCAGCCCCAGATGTATTCATCCAGACTAAGCTGTCTCTCTCCCTTTCTAGAAAACCTAGACAGAGTACATAGAGTAAGTTTGCTTAAATATGGAGTAATTTACTGTATCTCATTAATATTCAACTGTAAATGGACAGTGAAATTTTCCGGGCAGGGATGTTATCTAATAACTTTATAAAGTGCTGTGTACATTCACAGTGCTATATAAACACTACTTCATATACAGCAAAATAAAAGCACTGCAGTTTTCCTTTGGCTTGTTAATGTGTTCACCCTTCTAGCCTGCCTCTTCTTTAGAGATGATTTACTAAACCCCAACCACAGCATACAGCTGCGGATATTTCAAAGAGTGGATGGGATATGACACTGGCTACATGGAGTCAATTCTTTGCTCACCCAAAGTTGGATGGACTCACTTCTCTTTCCCCATCTTTTGTTTTCATCAGCTGGTCTGTGTTATTTCTGCTTTCCCTTCTCCTCTCACCTATGGTGGTGTGGTGTCAGTTCTGCTTCCCCCTTCTCTCTAGCCCAAGGCAGTGTGGTGTCAGTTTCTGCTGCTCCCTTTAACCTTGCCTCCCCACCCCCAAGGAGCTGGCATTGGTCCTTCTCAACACACACTGGTTACAAACACAGCAAACTTCAAATAAAAGAGAAATAAAAATAAGATAAAATAAAATAAAAATAAAATAAAAAAGAAACACCTCAGCGATATGGCACCTAAACTCCAAAGTAAAACACTGGAAACAAAAGCACAAACTTGTCCTCCATCCGAAGCGGGATTCTCAGCAGAGGCTGCAGCCGAGTCTTCAGGGGAAGATGTGCCAGACAGAAGGCATGGATCAGCTTCCAGGACTGTAAAAACACAGCCTTAGGGCTTCGAATCACTAAGTGCGCTCCTCTCCAACTTACCAGAAGATCCTTCTCACTCCAGTCCCGGAGGGGAGGGGCGCTCAGTATGGCTTGCTGTCATTCTTAGAGCGCTTGAGCTGTACTTTCAGACGCTTCATGCCAATCTGAAAGCCATTCATTGACTGAATGGCAGCCTGTGCAGACACAGGATTGTCGTAACTTACAAAACCTGAAGAAAGGAAAGCCCATAATTAAGCTGTGCCAAAGATCCTCAGAACAGGTACTCATGACTGGAAATGTAGGCATTTGCAAGGTAAGAGAGGTTTACATGAAATGCCATATTCAGAAGCTCCCAACTGTTGCAGACTCTTCATAAGAACCTCTTACTAAAGGGCTCTCAGACAAAGCACTGCTTTCTGATGTATGGAACTTTGGCCAAAAGATATAAAAAGCTCAGGATGTTAAATTAACATTTTCTGGTCCACCAACAAAAATGAGTTTGATATATAAGAACTCATACCCGAGAACACCAAGCCTGGAGAATGTCTATCTATATATGAAAGCTCATTAAAGATACAAGACTGAAATCACCCTCTTGGCATTATATGGGAGTAGGTTTGCTTGGAGTGAAGTAGCTGTCAAGGCAGCATGGCACTTGTACCATTATATTTAGATTTCTCTCAGATGAAAAGCTGTATATAATTCCAGGGAAAGAGCATCCTCAAAATAAACTTCTCCAGGGTTTTGAAGGAACCTGTTTTAAATAACTCCAGTCAATGGGGCTGGAATCAGTAACTGGGAAGAAAATACAGTTTCATTGCTGGAAGAGTTCGGATTGATTTATTTATTAGGAATATGGAGAAAAAGTCACTACTTGACTTAAAAGCTAGACTAAACAATATATTGGAAAAAATATTACTAGAAATAAGCCGACTTTCCTATAGGTAATGATTAGACCCAACGTACCAAAACACTTGCTCAGATTGGTCTGCTTGTCAATGAAGACCTTGGCAGAGACGACATTTCCAAATGGCATGAACATCTGCAGCAGATCCTGATCCCCAAACTCCTGGGGGAGATGGTAGATGAACAGGTTGGCTCCCTCTGGACCTTCAAACAACAAATAGGAATAGAAATTCAGAAACAGCATAGATAACATAGGCCCACTTCACAAAAAAAAAGGGTGAAAGAGCCATTCGAGCCAAATTTTCTAGGTAAAACAATGAAACTGCTGTCTGCACTCCTGTGGAGTACTTGATTCCAGAATAAGTCAGCATGACCCTTTGCTGGGATTGACCATTCAACTAATTCCAGCTCTTTCTCACTGTTTTTATGTGAGATTTCCACATTGTGTCAAAACTGGTTCACAGATCTTTGCTGTAATGAAAGCTGGAGAGTAAGTTTGAGCCCCAGATGCCAACTAAAATGGCTATGTGAAGCTTGCAGCTCAAGCAACTAAGTAAATCTCAATACAAACTACAAGTGATTGCATTACTTGTAATCTGACAGGTTCTTTTCTAAACATCCTACATTCTGCTAAAAATGTACTCCTACATTCTTCATTACTTTATACAACACGTTAAATTGATTCTGAATCTGAAGAGACTGGCATTAAGTAGCTGCAGGAAGAAAGGAAGGACCAGGAAAACAAGGTTAACAGAACCACAACTGATTCATTAACAGTGGGATTTTTCATGCTGCATCCTGATACATCACACTCTTCTGTACTCCAGGAAAGTGGAGGAGTACAATCCTAAGCATTTAATAGACAAATCCTGAGAGAACTCCACTGTATGAAAATTACTTTGGACAGCCCTTAACAGACACCTCACAGGTTTTCCTTGTTCCTTTCCTTCAGTAACTCTAGAACTGTAAAAAACGCTGCCAAATAAAAACCTCTGCAGATAAGGTAGCTGCAAGGGCTAAGCTTTCAGTTCTGAAAACCCCTATTGAGCTGTTCTTACACCTTTTTGCCTACCTTCTTTCTGACTTCCTGCTGCACCAATACTCTGCTGTGTTAAGAGACTCTGGTTATAGAGGGTGGGCAATGCAGCAGCAGCATATTGCTGGATTCCAGAATAAGCCTGTGTGAGAGCTTCCATTGTGCTACCTGTCCCATTTGAGAGACCACCACTGCTGAGACCTCCATTTAAGGCTGCCATTCCTGTACAAGAGAAAATAGAGATGACCAAGTACTTCCACTGAGTGAGATTAATTACCTTTCAAATACTCCATACTATTACAAAAAGCAGGGAGCAGGAAAACCCCCCAGAGAACCAGCACAGCCTGAGGAATGATGCTCAGCTCCTCCCACAACCCACTACAACACACAGCTTACCTGCTAAAGAGCTAACGTTGAGGCCTGCTGTGGCCCCTGCCAGCGTCTGCAACGCTCCAAGAGAAGCCATTGGATTAACAGAGGAGCTGCTACTGGAGCTAGGTGAGGAACCTGCTATTAAAATAAAATAATTAGACTTCAAGCAATATTCTGTGGGCCTGATAATTCAACTTCTTCATTAAGGTTTTTCTCTGGAAAAGGCTGGTAAGGAAGAGATCAATGCAATGCAGTATACTTTATGTCAATAATAAAACCCCCCAAACCCACACAACTTGACTGATCATACTGCTTGCATCTTCTAATCCCTTCCCACATTTTCAAAACATTTCTAGTTCATAACTTCTACTCTTTGTAGATAATAAAAAACTAGCAGAAAATAAAGAGTAAGACACCCAAGAGTCAGACAACATACAGCTTTTTACCTCAACATAAGGTGACCAGCAGCAGTGCCTGTTTCCTGCTGACTAAACTGAGTAAGAATGACTTGCTGCATATTAGCATCTATCCTCAAAACATCACACAAGCTGAAAAAGCCTGACATAGGTACGTTATGGACAGTAAGGAAAGCTCCAGTCAAACTGAACATATGGTTTTCCCATAGTGCCAGAGCAGGAACAGCAAATGCCCAGATTATTTTGACGCATTAAATGATTTCCCATTAACAATCTTGCTGCAGCAGCTGGCGCTAGAGCTGTGAGAAATCTTGGAATGTACATCCACAATACACAGTCTATCCTCTGCTGGCTGTGCCACTAACATCTTCAACCATGTTTACTCAGTACGAGACGTCTACAGGTATAGTACTTGGCAGACTAACAGCTTACACTGCCTGCCAAATTCTACAACAGGTAGAGTTAGTTCTACAGAAACAGACATCGAAACCACAAGAAAAAACATTTGCTACTCTGGTATATCAAAAGAAACAGAATTTAAAGTCATCTACAAAAGTTATGGATATGATAAAAAAATACTATTGTTTTCTTATTTTATGATTATATAGCAATAGTTTTCCTAAGAGGTTTGTGAACTACTTAGAAATCTAAAGAAGGTAAACAAGAAAAGCTACAAATACAGTTATTGATGAAGTTTAAACTTACTGCACAAGATACACTGGAAAATATCTATAGCTTCTATAGCTTAAAAGACACTGCAGAATAGTGCTGTAAAGGCATCTTGTAGTCTGGTTTCACAAGGAATTATCTGTTTCACCAAGTGGGTAGCCACAGAAATGAAATTCAGGCATTTTCCGTTTCCTTTGTGTTTTTGTGATTCTCAGTTATGCTGCATACATCCATTAAAGCTTTTAAAAGAATGCTGTACAGCTTTCAAGCAGATTCACCCCCACTATGGATTCCCCACCTCATACATGTGGCACAAAATCTCTGCTGGAGTGGAGTATGGTAGTAAATGGAATACAGCAAACCTGCCTAATGAGCCTGAGGAAAAGCTGTACCCAACAAAAGTAGTTGTACCTAACAGAAGCTGCATGAGAACCCAGCGAGCTGCACTTCTTATCACTGTTTAGTTTTTGAACTGACAGAGGACATGACAAACCTCCTCGAGGTAAAGTTCTAGACAAGCTCTCCAATCAAGTCAGAAATTAAAAGACTGTGTCCTAAATTATATTTTAAGATGCTTACTCTGAAGAAAAGGAGACACTTCCCATCTTGCTATCAGTAGCATATTAGATACTGGAAAAATACAGAGAACAAGTAACAGGGTAACCCTCAAGTTGGTAAAAAACCCCAGTATAGCTGACAGAATAAAAGCCAGTATTCAGATATGATACAACTGCCTTGATTTTAGAATATCACTTGTTTCTGCAACACTGACATGCTACACTTGACAGATGAGAACACCTTTTAAAAAGGGGCAACCCCACAATAAAACAGTAGTGGTATGGGGAAAAAAAAGAATGAAGCCAAAGCTAAAGAGCATGGTAAGATAGCGCAGATGCCTTCCCTACTGTAGAAAAGCTGTGGTTTTAAAGAAATGCAATCACTACAAAAAACTGCACAGTTATTTCAGCTTAGCTGACTTTATCAGAAATCTCTTTAAGCAAAACAAGATATGCTTTAGTACTGCAAATGCCAAGAGCATTTAACACCGTTTGGTTTATCATATGTATCTAGGAATTGCTGTACTGAGTCAGCATCCATTTCTGACGATGAGTAATGGCAGATAAGTAACAGTAGAGCAGAAACATAGGACAAATATACAGGAGTATACCCTGGGTACAGTCTATTTACCAAAGCAGCAATTTGTGAATCTAGGATTTTTTTTCAGCCAAGGACAATGTTTTTGTATTAAAGTTACAATTTTCATTCATTAATTTCAGTGCATTTTGAACACTGTCACATTAAAAGGGTCTTAACCTGTGTAAGGGGCTTATTCCCCCCACAATAAGGGGGAAGATTTCATCCCCTCACCTGTAAGTTTGACAGATTTGTTACCACCCCAGAGACCCCTGAGCCCACTTAGCCTGCCAGAGCCCTCTGCAGCAGCACAATGCATCAGAGGGTGATTCAACCATCCTATTCAGGGTACATTATAGCAGATTCAACCATCAAGTTAAAACATTTTTAAAGTTTTTAAGCCAATTTTAAGTCAATTCAAGTCTCTGGTAATTCACACAAAATCGATCTTAACTGAGAATTATATTGCTGGTGACAATATAATATACTAACTGCAAGAACAAGCATGAAAATTATATATAAAGCCAGCTACAAATCAATCATATAGCTCTTATGCAATAGACATTCCTATGGGGGAGAGAACACAGGTTCAGCCCACCGACGGATGTGAGCAGTTACAATGGAGTCGTAACTTTCCCCCCTCCCCTCCTCCTTAATTTCACATATTTAGATGATTTAATTCTTATTACTAACTCATCTAATTTGCATATGGAGTACGTAACTAAATGCCTAATAATGCATGCTATGGGGAGGGTCTCCCAACCTGGGCAGAGGTCTTTTGACCTGTGAATGGGATTTTTAGTATTAAAATAACATTATAATGACGATACTTCACCGAAAGGACAACTGATCACATTTTTCCTCACACATTTTCATGATCGTCCAGGTGTTGTAAGGATGCAGAAGACTTCAAGGATAGTCTTTCTTGATTAGAGGTTTGTTAATCTTTTCTCAGCCTGCCAACAAGGCCAAAGCCTCTCTAGCTATCAGTTCTCATTGTGAATCACTGTTGTTTCTCAGGTTTCCTGAGACAGCATCAGATACAAAAGGCCCTTGTACCTGTTCAGGTTCCTTCACAGCAACATAAGTTTCAATTTCTTAACTGAATACTTATGCAATTTTAAATATGTATGATTATAAAACTTAAGTATATGATTATGGAGCTTTAACTAAACACTCAAGGGGCTTGAGCATATGCATATGGAACTGGAGTGGCTCTAGTCATACATATTTTGTTGTGAAATTCTAGCACCTTGTTTGTCAGCTGCTAGGTGGTTTATCAGCACATGACATTTGCACATTCCCACACCTGCATGGAGTTAAACAGAGCCTGGTGGCTGTGTCTTCACTCTGCTCCACTCTCTGTCCGGTTTATCTTCTCATATGCTAAGGCTGCAGGATTGCCTGTGGAACTATTTTAGGGTAAACGCTGTGCATGTTAACTGCATTTCATCCCAAAAGTAGCAGCTGCATTTTACCCTAAAATGCCCTTAAATACCTTAATACACTTAAATAACTTAGATAACTTTGAGGACTGGGGAGAAGAGAGTTTCCTCCATTAGTCCACAAACCCAACCTGTTTGACTCTACTATGTTCTAAGGCACAAGTTCTGCAATTTGATCATGCACTAAGCAAAGACACAGCTCTTTTGTCAATTGTCAGCTGACAACTTCACCTGATAACCTATAATTCTTGTCTTGAAAGAGCTGATGACTGGTCTTTCCCTATTCATCTTCATCACACCACTAATGTATCTGTAAGCTTCAACTGTATCCTCCCCCTCAGCCAGTCTTCCATTTTTCAAGCTCCCTTGCTCCTAACAGGGAAGGAGTTCCACATTTCCAGTCACCCTTTCTGTTCTTCTGGGATTTGTGTATTATTTTAACCAGAAAACAGCACAAATAATGGAGATGGAAAACCAGTATAGCTTTATACACATTCTTTACTCCATACCCAAATCTTAACACTGTTTCTGTCCAGTTTTTGGGTCCTACCAAAGTTATGTTTTCTTAGACCCATCTACTGAGTTCTAGCCAGTCAGAGACATTAACTCTACAAGAACTAGCTGAAAATTCCTGAAAAGGTGCTCAGAAACTCTGAAAGAAACTTTGTTGGGTACATACTAAGGCCAGCAAATTCACTTAGTCTTTGCTGGACCTTTGATGGTTGCCTTTCAGAGGAGGCAAAATAGAAACTTAAACCAGCTTTTGCAGCCATTCTGTTTTGCTCTGAAGCAGACAATTCTTACTGATATCCGAGTCAAAAAGATGACAGACAGGACACTCCAACTGCAAGCTACTTCTTACAATACTTTCTTGAATCTCCCTTCACAAACTATCAGTTTAAATGAGTTTGCCTAAGGCCACAGTCTCTGTAGCACAGATTACCTACAGGTGGCTGAAGCAGCTGCCTGTTCAGTTTCAAAGAGCAGCTGCTTTATAGCAAGGCTGAAAGCTTTGCTCCATCAACATACACAATAGTGCTTGGTAATATCTAAACAAAATCACATGAAATGAGTAGGAAGACTGCACAACAGTGATACTTAATGCCTCTGAGTTCAAACATTTTGCCATGTAACCTATCCATAAGACCCCAGACTCTGCACTGTGTAGACTTCTAAGTTTCCCAAACATAAAATTTATCAATGCAGGTGAAAGAAACTAAAAAATGCAACTAAGCATGATGATTGTCTGGGTTTTCCACCAATTATGCAACTTGAGGACAATCTGGAAGAGATGCCCAAGTAAGCATCAGGTGAACATCTGGATGACGGATGGACAGAATTCAAGCTGGCAGTCATCCCATCTGCAGTTAGGTTTAAAAGGTTATCACAGTAGATGTTGCCACACATCCCACAGACATGGAAGGCGTTTACTAACACATGGTACTGAACACCTGTATACTGAGTTTTTTCAAGGTCTGGGTATGGTTCAGGAGGGATGCCCTGAATGTGTGGAGTCCAACAGCCTTCTATATGAACATATACAGTGTGAATGCACATATAAATATTAACCAAGAGAATTTTGAGTTTGCTTTTTTAAGACATTATAGCTCAGACTCAAGAGTTAAAAAGCTGTATAATTACAGGAAGTATCATGAGATTGAATGCTGTCTGTACACATTGAGATTTCCCCACCCCAAGAGTGAACTGACTGATACACCTGTATAGGATATTAATTCAAACAGCCCATCATTATTACCTGATTGTTGGCAACAATCATTTATTGATATAACTGGCGCTTGAAGTTGTTTAGATTCAGCACAGAAGATACTTAAAAATGGACTGCTCCCATTCCCCAGCCCCCTCCACCAGTATGATCAAAAGTGGATTAAGTCCTGAGATACATCTCTCATCAAGGGAAAAGGAACCTACAGAGTGCTACAAAACAGCTAAAATTCATGGAGGTAAAAACAATCCCAAAGAATCCCTGAACAGTAGCATAACTTCTGTTGAAAGGGACCTTTATGGATCGTATAGTCTAATGGTCTGCTCAGAGCTGGTCAAAACTCTAAGTTAGGTCAGGCTATACAGGGATCTTTCTAATTGTATTCTGACTGACTGAAATGATGGAGATTCCATAGCCCCTGTGGCATCTGGTTGCAGAGCTTTATCACTCTCATTATTCATTTCATCTTTTTTTGTATCCAGCCAGAATTTTCTGTTGCAGATTGTGTCCACTGCCCTTGTCCTTTCCTTGTACGTGTATGTGAAGAGGTTGTCTGCCTTTTCTAGCACGTCTGGCATTTGAACTTCACAACCTGCCAGTCCCCTTCCCCACCTCAACAAATCTGAGAAGCAGCTTGCTCCAGTCAGTAGATGAAAGTGCCAACAGGGAAACCTTAGTTCTAAAAGCCAATCATAGCAAATTTTAACCTGACAATTTCAGCTCTGCTTCTACATTAGGAAATATAGGAAAAACTCTCAGATATATTCATCTCTATGCTTTGTCTATGATGAAGCAGCATTAGTGGGTTATAAATGAAGCTTTTCTGTAGCCTCAACTCTTTGTTGTTTTAATTATAGATAGGATAACATAGCTGGGAGTCAAGAATTTTGGCATTTTCATCTTTATGAACTGCAGACCACAAAGTTTCATCTAAACCCCCCCCCGTCCAGTAGCAGAACCCCCTCTGAGGTGAATTCTTTCTTGGGGATTTCTCTAAGTAGAAAACTGTGCAAAGCACCCATGGTTTAACTCCTCATCATGTGACATAAGGTTTTCTAAACAGCTTTTCCTTGTAATCTCTTTATAATCTCTTAGTCCAGCACCTTGCTCCTTCTATACAATACAAAAAGCTACCTCTGGAAATTTGAAACCCCCATTTGGTCTCTCACAACCACAGGTGAGGATGTCAGCTCCGTAGGCTGGATTTCAAAACTGGGTAAGCAATCTGGCTTTTAATGAAAACCAAAAACCACCCAACCCCACATACCACAGCACAGATGCCAGAAAACTGACACCCTGAAAATACAGGATCTCCCTTCCCGTGTCAGGATATAGAAATGACTGAAAGTACGACAGAAATAACCGAGTAGGATACCGATTCTCATTTGTGGTAAAACATGAGCATGTCTGAAGTAAGCACAATTTAGTTTACTTCTTTTGTTTTCTTGTTTGCTGTATTTAATAATCACATTTAACAATAAGGCAGCAAAAAAGCACTGCTTGGACATCCTTGCCTCTCTGGATAATGTACAAACAAACAACAAAAAACAAAACAGAAACCCCAACCCCCCCCAACCAACCAAGAAAAAAACCCCCAACCAACCAACAAAAAAAAACCCCAACCAACCAACTAAAAATAAAAAACAGAACAAAGAACAAAAAAAATCCCCTCAAGATCGCCCCAAACCAAACAAAAACCACCACAAGAAAACCCAAAACAAAACAGAAGAGGAAGATACTGATTTTTATTTGCGACTCGTACACTCAGTTCTAGATACCCGCTTTCCAATAAGTGTACTAGGGGTCTGTTTATTCTACCGCTGTGAGGTAGTTCTAGTATCCTTGTCTTCATTAATGCCAGAGGAATATAAACTGTACTGTTCTAGTGCACAGAATGCCTTACTTCATGCTTAAGGCATCTTCTATCTCCATGTCCAGAACAGGGTCTATCTGCCTAAAATCACAGATAAACAGAGTATGTGATGAGACTGTAATGACATAACTCTAAAGAGGTCACCTACCTTTCTGCTTCATCATGATCTCAAAAACTCTTTTTACTCTAAATTAACCTGACCATTTGGAGGAAGGAACACAGCAGGTAAAAAAAGTCTTTGCTGATGGCAAAGATACCTATCCTTAAAAAGGGCAAATGAATCTACTAAGTAAAACTGCTTATCTATTAAGAAATCAACATGAAAGGGACAAAAAGGGATGGACAAAACAGGTGAGATCTATCTTGAGATAATTCCTAAGGCAACCCATGTACAGCATAAGAAGTTATCTTACCTGAGCTAGTGAGCACACTCAGGGGACTGCTGGAGGAAGTAAGTGCAGCGGTACCACTTGGTGTGTTCTGAGCTGCAGTGGCTGCAGCTGCTAATGCAGCTAGGTTCTGTAACTGCATCGCATTCAGTCCTGCAACACATTGAAGAATACACAGAGTATCTCCTATAATGGCCACCATCATTCAAGCTTAACAGATCCAGCAGTCTTAGCACATTGCAAGGGAGTGATGGAAAGAAGCTTAAAAACAAGAGGCTTAATACTAGTTACTGATCTTTTCCACATTGATATTCCTCATTATAACTAAAAAATAAGTCTTTCTTTGCCAAGATAGATGATTTTCAGTACAAGACCAGGTAGTCACTATCCCAAGATGTAGACAAAAGCATAGCAGCTTTAACTGAGTTAAGCCAGGATCTGATAGCTCATCTGCAAGCTAGAGAACTTGCCTAGACATCAGGCCAATAACATCTTTTCTCATGCTGCAATAACTGCAGAATTCTTTCAAGAAGGCCTACACACCACAGTGGCCACAAAGTCACACCTTCATCATTGTAGCTTGCCCTCTTTTCCTGGCATGAGATTATCATCCCTACCAACATTCTTCTAAATTCTGTATTTTAGCTATCCTTTGGTAGGCTAGCTCCACTCTTCCAATTCTGCCTCTCAACCCTTTCCCCTTATTTCGCTCTTTTGTTTCTACCTTTACTTATTCTAACAATTCCTCCTCTTTTGAGCTGACTTCATACAATCACTACTAATTGCTCCCTACAAAATTAAAACCAAAATTGATTTCATTACCATTCATTTACAACATCAAAATGTCCTTGGCAAGACATGGCACCTCTTCTTTTGAATGGTTTGTAAGTACTTGGTGACAAAGCACATATCTCAAATAAGCAAAATCTCAGTTTTGCAATTTAAATATGTGCAGACAACAAAAGTCTGCAAATGGCAATTAAGTATAAACTATTTATTTTCCAAAGAAAACTTCCACCATTAGCATAGTTCATTTTTTACAATCGTTTTCAATTGTTTTCTCTTTGTGACAGAGTCCGTTTCCTTAACTATACTTAGTGCCTGAAACAAGAGGATTCTGCCTTTATTTAGATTCTCAAGGTGCCATTGTAAAAAAAAAGGATTAAATTAAAATCAAGAAGTTGCATTTTTTGTTTTCATTGTGCTACATGCAGAGGGTTAAGAGTGCAAACCTTAAAGCTAGTGAAGAACAAAGCAGCTTGCTTCCTTTTAGAAGCAATGGCATGCTCACTCTGCAACTGCCTTCTCATCATCACATCTTTTTCCCATCTGCTTTCAAACACCATCAGGATTAAATTTTGCCTACAAAGCCTATTGTAGTTTGGCATATAATTACCTACTTAATTTTTCTTCCTGTGAATTTCAAGAAAGATCAGCTGAAGAGGTCTAATATGAATACAGTAAGCATAAGAAGCAAAGGTTAGAATCAACCTCAAGTATCAAAGAATGGTTTGGGTTGGAAGGCACCTTAAAGATCATCTGGTTCCAACCTCCCCATCATGGGCAGGGACATCTTCCACTACAATGACTGCTCAAGTATAAATCAAAGTTCTTACAATCTAAAATATAACACTTTGCAAAAGCTTCTGACTGTGTTGGTACACCTATCAGTACAAAGTCAGATGTACAAAGACACTTCCTTACCACTTCTAGATCAACCTCTGCACATACAGGACAGGTGATATTGCAAACTACTGTACAACTCCAGAAGGCGATTTTAAAAGCTTAATGTTTTGAGTATTAAAACCAAAACTACAGGGTTTCTTTTTGCCATCAGAAGAATTTAGAGCATGTGGTGAATGGAGTTACTAACACATGGATTTTTATTACCCACCCTGTGAAGACAGAAAGGACTATCAATTTGCAGCCCAGTACTTAATGGCTGCACTCATACTTACAGCTATACTTAATGAATATTCCAACTAGCAGTTCACAGCAAGGAATTTAGCTCATACATATTAAGATGGTATTTCCCTAACAGCAACAGCATAATCGATCATAATTCAAACAAAGGAATTAAAGAACCTAAATGAAGAACTAGATCACACTCCATCTCCAATTTTGAAGTATTTAAGAACAAAGAACTTAAAATGGGCAATCTAATTATCCATTATCACACGCATTATTGCTTTCTTCAAAACACAATGCTTCACATATGCATTTGTCTGGGTAAAATAAGAGAGTCATCTTTTTGCACCCATAAGGGAAGACAATTTTAAAGCCAGGGGTAAGGAGATTACCACCATATGACAATTTACCTTGGGGACAATGGTTAACTAAAATTAAGGAGGAAGATCCACATTTGAAACTGATTTCTGTCATTCCAGAGGAGTGGGTAAACACAGGACTACTTACTTCAAATGAGATTAACATGTCTACAGCCTTTTGTCTACTTTCTCTACCCTCCTCCTCTTTTCTTGGGCACTGAATTTGTGTTCCGGTAGAAAAAACTCACCTCCCATTGGGTGGAGGCTGCTCAGTGTGTTCAGGTTCCCAGATGATGCAGCTGCTGTCTGCTGAAGGAGCTGCAAATAAAGCTAGACATTACACCAAAAAACAAAACAAGAGTGAGAGTGAGGGCTGGCTCCGCTTTCTGGGAGAAACTGCATCACACCACAGCCAGAGCGCTGTCACAAGGGGAATTCCCACTGCCCATGCACCACACCGTAACAAAGCGTAAAGAGAATTCCCCTTACACACTACAGCCAGAGCACCACCATAGTGAAAATCCACACTGCCCATGCAGATTGCAGCCAAAGCAACAGCACAATGCTTTCCTCACTCAACATTATCAGTGATGAGCTAATACACCAAGACAAAAACCAGTGGAATCAGTAGTGAGAGAACTCCTATTTGAAGCACTTCAGGTAAGACTGCCACCCCTAAGGATACAATACTTGAAGCCAGACTGCCAGCAAAGAACAAATGGCAAATACCATACCAAAACCAAAGACACACTCTGTTTTCCTTAAGCACAGCAGCCATGAGAGAAATTTCAAGCCTCAGCTCAGAAGCTAGAGGGATTTCCAATTCTTTCCTCCATTAACTAGACGGTGTTATAAAAAAATTCCAAACTACCAAACCTAAAGCAGTCATAAAGACACAGTGCCCCCACAGTACACCATACCAAGAATGCCATGAAATTTTCCTTTTCTGTTCCCTAGACCTTATATTGTATGAATACACTTTCCACAGTCACTCTAGCCAGAGCACATCAGTTTACAGAAAGCTCACACTTTAGGGACCCAGCAAAATCAACTCAAATCAGCGGCAAACAGCAGACTACTTTCAGTTATGTCAATTTTACTAAAGACAGTAGCTTCTCTTTATTTTACTGTGTACTGTCTGATTGGTACTTCCAACCTGATCACCTTTTCTATCTGGACAGCACCAACTACTATTCTAAGTTTCTCTGGAAGTGGATGAGAGAAATAAAGGCTGAAAAAAGTTGGAATAGGAATACAAGAACTATGTAAATCACATAAACACGAAAAGGGCATTTCTATTACATTGAAGCCGTAACATTAAGAAAATGTTCCCAGCACAAAGTCATTCTACAGAAGACAGGAAAGAAACAAAGAAGTTTCAATACTCAGGGCTACAGTGAATGGGGTTGAAAACCTCACTTAAATGTATCCTGCCTAGTTGTTAGCACATAACTTAATTTCAGCCTCCTCATGCACTAAATGGGGATTAAGAATCCTGCTCATATCTACCAGGAGCCTTCTAAAAAATTAATCCATTAAACACTACAAGACAGGCAGACACTGCAATCCCTGAAGAGATGAAAATATCCCAAATCAGAAACTCACTGCTAAGTATTGGGGTCCAAGTGTGTTGAGACCAGCCAGGTTTCCCCATATTGAGGCAGCACTGATCTGTTGCATTTGTTGCTGGAGTTGCTGAGCAATTCGTTTCTGCTCTTTGTCCTTCTGTGTGTCTGCAAATTTTACCACAATGGGAGAAGAGCAACCCTGCAAACAGCAATTCAAACAATTACATACTTGCTATCCCCAGCAGTCACAAAAATACTGCATTCAGACCCAGTCATTGGAAGCATTCCTCTTCCCTTCCTCTACATGAATTCATACACACACACACACACACACACACACATATATATATTCAAACAGCACATTTCATTAAAGGTTCAAAATCTCATTTGCTTTCAATCCTATGTTCTATGTTAGTGTATTTTCTCCGCAGATGAAGTTTCTATCTCAAGCTCTAAAAATAGAAGCAGAACACACACATAGTTCCAGGAGTAGCATTTGTGAAGAAACACACGCTGCACTTAGCCTTCTCTCTGCCCTTTAGTCCTCCAAAATCCATAGTGACTGCCTGACAAATTACATCATCTCTTGACACCCACTAAGTTATTTTACCTCCATGGTTTGTGCTTGATGCATTGCTTTGATTGCTGTTTGCGCCATGGCTCTTGTTGTAAAAGTCACAAATGCACAACCTGAGAAAAGAACAGAAAGGTATCAAGTCGTTCTTTTACACCCACAATCACTGGGATCAATAAAGACATGAAAATGGTGGTGGGAAGGAAAAAAATGCCGCCTTGGGCTGCAAAAGGCAGCATCCAGTGGAGAGCCTTGAACTGGCTGAAAAGCTTCCGGCTTACCTCGGCTCAGGCCATCTGGGCCACGTAATATCCTGCATTCTTCAATCTGCCCAAAGGGTGAAAACATCACTCTGATATCATTTTCATTGCACTTCTTGGATATCATTCCAATAAACAACTTCCTATCTTCTACTGCTAAGAAAGCAAAAGATAAAGAGTATTACCAGCAAGTATGTGCTTACTAGATCTTACTTTGTCGACCCTTCTCCACCAGCTGCAGTTATTTCCCTTGTACTGAAGGTAATGGCTTGTCAAAAGCAGATTCCCAATAATGGTATCTCTTCAATTTAAGAGGATGCATACAAGATACCTCACTGAACCTCAAGGATGTACATTTTAGGATGGTTTATGTTTACATTTTGCTGACTGTTTCTCCCTTGCAAGCCTGTGAGCTGCAAGAACATAATGAAACAATATATCGGATTCAGCACTTCCCTGTATCTCCTAAGTTCAGTTCCTGGTCAGTGAGAGAAGAGTTGTATGTGTTTTACTGGGCTATTTTCATCCTCTTGCTTCTGCCTCTCCTATCTTTAGACTACCAACATACCTAACTGTACCTAAACTGATAGAGAAATGCAGAAATCTCCTTTCTAGCCTCTTTATCATGCCAATCACTTAAATTAAGATCTTCCTGTTCTCTCACACTCCTGTCTCAACAGTGGAAGCGACATCTGTTGCTAAACCAGAACAGTTTTAGTTCTATTTCAGATCCATCCATTCTGTTCTGTACCAAGAGCATGAAAATAACACCTCAAATCAGAACAATAGACTGTGTGCTACTGTACCTTGTCTCTAAATGCTGATGTTACCAGATACATTAGAATTGAATAGTACCTTTCACTGTGAAGACCAATTTAAAATAAATGGTGCAGAAAGACATTTATCTTAGCTTTCCAGTTAGTGGTTATGAAATGTCAGTTTAAGGTCATTTAAGGGAGTGGGGTAAATTCAAATCCAGAGCAGAACTGTGTGTCTTGCTTTATTTATTTAATGATGCTAATCACCTCTGAAATATTTGCTTTTAAAGGATAAAGCAAATTATACAAAATGCCATTTGGAAATATAAACCAGTCTGAAAATAGAAGATTCAGCACAATATAAAATATGGTATCATGAAAAACATAGCACAACTTGAAGCTTCAAGAAAGTCTTCTATTAAGTGCCATGGTGAGGGGAAATCAAGTTATTTGCTGAGTCTTCTGTGGTGTTTAAGAGGAAAATTCCAAACTATCCCATGAACATCACTTTAACTGATTATTAAATCTTATGTTGCACCCGGTTCACTTTCAAGCTTAGAGCAGAAAGCTACTTTCAAATACTTTCTGCCATCCATTTTAGAGAGACCCAGAATCCCTTTTATTAATGGCAAGTTAAAATACTTTAACTGATGCTTTCCAATTTACATTTTCACCTACACCACTTACTAAAAGTCATGTAATTACATAATAGCCTCAGAAGTGTCACCCTAAAGTTCCATTAAATACCTTTATCCTCTTTCCATTATTTTCCCAGGATATTTGTGTGTGTGTGTGTGGGTGTGTGTGAGATGCAAGATCAATTTTAAAGAACCTATTCTGTTCTCCTCCCAACAATAGTTGAAAAGAATTACTCCTTTCTAGATATATTTACACAGAAACATATTCTGTATACACATAGAGAAATGTGCAGATGGAATTACTCCTACTAGATGTTACCCATATATCCCATCTTCTGTTTTCCATTATCTTAACATGTAAGTTTTCTGGAGCCAGGACTGTATTCTCCATGATGCAATGCTAATCTTATATTAACTATGGCAAATGAAGAAAATAAATTCAGCTAAGCCTAGAAGGGCTGAAACTACAAGATGTTAAAACACTTTCTTTGCTTATCTTGCAGCAGTTTATATAAACACACAATCATTTGAGCATGTTAGGGCCATGAGGATGATCAGAGGACTGGAGCAGCTCCCGTATGAAGACAGGCTGAGAAAGTTGGGGCTGTTCAGCCTGGAGAAGAGAAGGCTGCGTGGAGACCTCAGAGCAGCCTTCCAGTATCTGAAGGGGGCCTATAGGGATGCTGGAGAGGGACTCTTCATTAGGGACTGTAGTGATAAGACAAGGGGTAATGGGTTAAAATTTAAACAGGGGAAGCTTAGATTGGATATAAGGAGGAAATTATTTCCTGTAAGGGTGGTGAGGCACTGGAATAGGTTGCCCAGGGAGGTTGTGAATGCTCCGTCCCTGGCGGTGTTCAACACCAGGTGGATGAAGCCTTGGGTGATATGGTTAGTGTGAGGTGTCCCTGCCCATGGCAGTGGGCTTGGAACTTGATGATCTCAAGGTCCTTTCCAACCCTAACTATTCTATGATTCTATGTACATCTATAAACTCATAACAGAACTGCATGGAAAAATGGTCATTTACCCAGTGGTAGATGCTAAATGTCTTAATCCATCTGGAATGGCCAATATGCAGAAATATTCAGTTTTTTTTCTCTACTGAAAAAGTGGTGAATTTTCAATCTTCCGTGTATACTACAATAACTATTGACCCCCACCTTGATGCAACAGGCCTTGCTTGAAATTGGTCCAGCACCTGAAAAAGCGTTTCTAGATTTCATACAATCATAGAGTAGTTTTGGGTGGAAAGGACTTGAAGATCATCCAGTTTCAACCGCCTGCCACAGGCAGGGTCACGTTCCACTAGACCAGGTTGCTCCAAGCCCAATCCAGCCTGGCCTTGCACACTGCCAGAGATGGGGCAGCAACATCTTCTTTGGGCAATCTATTCCAGTGCCTCACCACTCTCACAGTAAAGAACTTCTCCTAATATCTAATCTAAATCTATGCTGTTACAGTTTAATACTGTTACACCTCATCCTACCACTACACTCCTTGATAAAGAATTCCTCCCCATCTTCCCTGTAGGTCCCCTTTAGCTATTGGAAAGCTCCCGTAAGGTCTCCCCTAAGCCTTCTCTTCTCCAGGCTGAACCACCTCAACTCTCTCAGCCTGTCTTCCTGGGGAAAATGCTTCAGCCCTCTGATCATGTTCATAGACCGCCTATCGACCTGCTCGAGTGGCTCCGTGTCTTTCTTACGCTGGGGGCCTCAGAGCTGAATACAGTACTCCAGGTGGTGTCTCATGAGAGTGGAGTAAAGCAGGAGAATCACCTCCCCTTGACCTGTTAGCCTTTCTTTTGATGCAGACCAGGATATGTCTGACTTGCTGGGCTGCAAGTGCACATTGCTGGCTTATATTGAGCTGTTCATCCACCAATACCCCAAGTCCTTGTCTACAGGGCTGCTGCCAATCCACTCATCACCAAGAATGCATTCGTTTGGGAATGCCTTGACCCAGGTGCAGGACCTTGCACTCGGCCTTGTGGAACTTCATGAGGTTCACATGGGCCCAGCTCTCTAGCCTGTCATAGTCCCTCTGGATGGCATCTCTTCCCTTTAGGGTATCAGACACAGCGCTCAGCTTAGTGTCACCCATAAGCTTGCTGAGGGGTGCACTCAATCCCACTGTCCACGTCCCCAACACATATTTAAGCCACATTAGTGCAAAGAAAAACTCACTGGATGTTTCCCTAACTGACAATGTGGTTCTACCACAAGCAGCAGCAGTGGGAGATAGAGAGTCATGGAATTTTGGAGACATCGCTTATGCTATTATATTAAAAACACATTTTTTTTTGTCTCCAATTCAAGAGTACTTCATCATAAGCTGTTAACAATAGGAAAATCCTCAAGCTTCCCTATTGTTGCAAATGATGCCATCTAATTGAGACTATACTAAAACTTACCATTACTCTTTTCACTGTCAGCTGGTTTCATCTGGATAGGATGGTGCATCTGAAATGTAAAAAGATTATTTAATCCCAGATACATTCACTTTATAAAATACATCCCATATGAGCTGTGGAAGAAAGAGGAAGAAGGCCTAAACTGCCTCTACAGAAATGCATATATAACAATACACAGATTTCTAGAGGAAAGAATTTTTTTCTTTAGGATATGCCATCATTCCTCCTTGGAGAGTATTGCAGGAGCCATGCCCACCCACTGCACTACAATATACTAAAAAATTCCCTTAAGATCTGTTATATAAATCTCATGACATTGCTCGTTTGAATAGTTCTTTAAAAACATGATTTGAAGGCAAGATAATGTGTGTTTGTACATCAGTGGTGCCAGCGCTCAGAAAAACAGTTGTGAAGAAAGCATGGCTCTCTTCTTACCCCTGGGAGGATCTTCATGTTGTGAAGAGCATTCTGTGCTTCTAGTGCAGCTTTACGGGTGTAAAATGTAACAAAACAGCACCCTGCAATGGAAACAAGATTTTAGCCAAGAAAGAACTAGGAATCTTGACATTCAAGTCCCACCTCTATCCTTCCAATGCAAAACTTAGGACAAGTAGAAGAGGTTAGACACTGAAACCTGGAGGTACTACTGACAGCAATCTTCTTTAAACAGTTAGTAACTGCAATAAAATAGGATACATTCAGAACTGACCCAACATCACCAATACACTATTAGAAGAAATGTTTAGATATATATGCCAAATAATTATTGACTACTTCCATTATCAAACTCAACAATTATTTGCTAGTACCAAAAATTTACCTAGTTTCATAGGAAATAAGGTATTGCATATAACTGAACTGCAAATCCAGGTACAGCATTTAGTTAGTATTTAATGTACATAAGTACTTGATGACACACATATGACTAAGACCTCAATTTTATATTTTATCTGAAACTGTGATGCTTCCAGCAACATTTTTGTTATACTGTAGCATCACAAATCTGATCTGGAGCAACACAGTATTAATTTTATGTTCTGTTTTGCAATTATAATCCATACTTTTCAAGCATCCTGATCACTTAATGGCTGGACAGCAGTCCAAACATAATCAGACACACAGACTTAAGACTATAAAGCCTGGGCTATAGTAGACACCTGGTCACATCAAGCTCCTTACAGGGATGTTTGAATAAGCTAACAAACAACTAAGACTAACTACATGAAAGCAGCTAACACTCCTAGTCTCAAGTACAGAAGTTCTCACCTTTGCTCTGAGGAGGGTTTTGGCTCCTGTCCCTCAAGACATTGATTTCATAGACAGCACCATACTGTTCAAAAAGTTCTCTTAGATCCTTCTCACACCAGCTCCGTGGGACCTGACCCACAAACATCTTGATAGCATCTAGATCAGGTTGGTCTGGGTGATCCAGTGTGCCATTCATTTTCTTTGCACTATGGAAATCAAGAATGAATTTCTGGTTTGTACCCTTCTGCAGATTTCAGATGTTGTTGCAGCTAGAAGCATGCTTACATTGAGATTAAAATATTGATTTCTAAACATATATAAATATTCATGATTAAAATACACATATAAGGAGACTCCTGCATATTCCCAGTACTGCATACCAGAGAATATTCATAAACACCACTGTCATGTTTTAAACCCAGCTGGCAAGTAAGTACCATGAAGCTGCTTGGGGAGGAAAGTCAGAAGAATGTACAACCCATGGGTTGAGATAAGAATAGTTTAATAATTTATAATAGAAATAATACCACCAATAACAATACTGATAATAACAGGAAACAACAACAAGCAAGAAATAAAAAGTCAGAAAACACAATTGATGCACAATACAATTGCTCACCACTCACTGACTGATACCGAGCCTATCCTGAGCAGCTATTGATCCCTTCTACCTATCTCCATGCAGTTTATATCCTGAGCTTGATGTTCTAGAGTATGGAATACCCCTCTGGCTAGTTTGGATCAGCTGTCCTTGCTGAGCTCCCTCCTGGCTTCTTAAGGTGTGCTATCAGCACTATTCTCAGACTAAAGCCAAAACACAGCAGTGCACCACATATTAGGAAGAAAATTAACTCATATTCCAGCCAAACACAGGACAATCATTCACATTCACTGGCAAGGTGTGTACTTGGAAACCAAGCACTCTCTACACAGCTGTTTAAAACTTCTCTTAAAGCTTGTTCTTATTTGTAATCAGCATCTGGGATTCAGAATGTAAGTCTGCTGAGATTACTAAAAAAAATATCACTAGTTGAACCATGTAAATTTTTACATGAAAAAGAAACCAGAACAGGAAGGAACTTGAACTCAGGTTACCAACAGATCACTGAAGTTACCAGTAACCACTGAAAATAAGAGGATAATATTTTCTTCATTTTCTTCATCCCTGGAACTATTTCCCAGGAGAAGATCCACCTTAACACAGAGAAACAGGATGAATATATATATACAACTGAATAGATGACAAGTTTCTTTAAAGGTCTACCAAGCAATAGCTCATCGTGAAACTGGGGAGCTTTCGGCAATATCTGGCAAGCAAAGACAGGCTTAGGTTGTAGACTGGGATTGGACAATCTATAGTCAGCTGCACACTGAATAAAGTTGAGTAATGGCAGGGTGTTAATATAGAAAAAGTTATTTCTGAGACTACAACAACACAAGTTTTGAGTATGGAAATCTTCAATAGGCTTCAAGGCATTAGCTCTAACTGTATGAGCAGCCTATTATAAAACTGTGTTATATTCCACACAGTTTGCTGACAATCACACACTACTGTCTGTATTGACCCCTCATTGCTTGGCAAGTCCAATGTGAGGTTTGTTATCAGTTGTCACAATCTAGTATACCACAGGACCTTTCTGTGTGGAAGACTGACTGTAATGACATCCTATTGTAACTATAGTGATTAGTAGGTTAGAATTGCTGACCAGTCCCTGCACAGTCTAGAAGGGACGTGGGGCAAGCAGAACAGTATCCACACAATGATCCCCACTGCCCCTAGTCTCTTTGTTGAAGAATACAGGTGGCCGCCTTCTACAGCAGTCAGCTCTCTCCATCACTGCTTTTTCAACTTTAAAGACAGGTTTTGACCAGCTTATTAACACATTAAACAGCGTTCTGCTCAGTGTCCATCTGCAATCATATTCCCCCCTTGAACAGAATTTTAAAAATTCAGTAAAACAGGATTTCCAAACCAGGTAACATTTAGTTAATTTCCCCGTCAATATGCTGATGTTCAGAGCCTAAGGAAGGACTGATGCCAGGGAAAGCTCATGATTTTGTAGCTGTAACAACAGACATGGAATCACAGAATGGTTTGGGTTTGAAGGGACCTTAAACTCATCCAGTTCCAACCCCCTGCCATGGGCAGGGACACCTTCCGCTAGAGCAGGTTGCTCCAAGCCCTGTTCAACCTGGCCTTGAACACTGCCAGGGATGGAGCAGCCACAGCTTCTCTGGGCAACCTGTGCCAGTGCCTCAGCACCCTCATAGGGAAGATTTTTTCCCAATATCTAATCTAAATCTATCTTTTTTTCAGCTTGAAGCCCTTCCTCCCTGTCCTGTCCCTACAGGCCCTTGCAAAAAGTCCCTCTCCAGATTTCTTGTAGGCCCCCTTTAGGTACTTGAAGACTTGTAAGGTCTCCCCTGAGATCAAAAGCAACAAAGCTTCTTACTAGAAGGAAAGGAAATAATCATAAATCCTTTTACCCCTCTCTACCTTTGCACTCAGAAGGGGTGAGCACATCTCCAAATAGTGAAGGCAACCAATACCTTTTACAAAGAAAACCAACTGGAAACATTTACCCTCTTCCAGCAATAATCTTCAGCCCTGCCTTCTATGCCATGGGTAGCTGCAAGAGCTTAGCATGGCTCTTATTAATTGGGCAACTCTTAACATGATCTCTACAGTACTGAAGGAATCTTTCATTCCTAGTTAAAAGGTCTAGTCTGGAATCATTAATAGGGAAGCACAGAAGTTGTTCTCCCAACGACTGATTTAAATAACTAACTTTATAACATCAGCACCTGTAGCATACTATAAGCAATACTGCCAAATAGCTTTATTCCTCCTTAGCCCTCATCCCCAAACTTGTAAAGATCATTTTTTCCTCTTGTGCAGGATCCAACATCAACTGTCAACACCCAGTGGGATTTCTTCAAGAAAACAAGCTGCAGGCTCTCCTATCTCTTTCCCCCATGTCGTTCCCCACAAGGGGAGCTCATCCGACAACACAGGCTTCAGAGACAGCAATTCCAACTATCACTTCAGTTATAAACTTAGACATGAAGACAGAAATACTTACACAGGGCTGGCATTCAATGAGCAATGGTCCACCATCATCTCTGGGAGAAAATCCAACTTAAACGCAGCCATCACCTCAGTCTGTGACAAACTACTAACACTAAATCAGTGTACTGCCTAACCCCCAAACAATGCCACTTCCAAAAGTCCTGCAGGTCTTAACACTCAGTCACACAAAAAACACTCAAACCACAGAAACAGAAGCTTGGGGAGACCAGCAATAGACACCACAGAAACAAGGCTGGACTGGGAAAGGGACATGGAATCCCAGATTAAAAAGGGGATGTGACCATGTGAAGGGAGGCTCAGCTTAATACACAATGAAAGTGCTGATGCATTGGGCTTGTTTTGTGCAATTTTCCCTGGCGAAGCAGTACTGAGTGCACTGTCAGATAAACAGAGTGTCAGATCCATGAAGATAGCAATGGGTAACAGAGCAGAAAGAATACAAACTACAATCTTTCCATCCCAAACTAACTCCTTGTCTCCCAAAGAGGCAGTCCAAGGCCCTGAAATTTAGACTGATGCTTTCTGTCACTGCCAATATTAAGGTATGAAGCCAAAAAGTTTCTTCACCATCATTTCCAATGTCCAATTTTACTCTTTTTACCTTGTGCACTGTTTTTGATACTCTCCTAACTTCTAGGGAGAACGCTACCTGGTTCTCTGAACCTGCCAAAACAATCACAGCTAAGAAAATTTGATTATTGAAAACTACCACAGAGCATCAAAACCTACTCCTTTATAAAAGCAAAACATACATTGTTCTGGAAATAATGCTTTGCCTATCATTCATCTATAAATCCAGAGATATACAGAGGCTATAGGTGATAAAGGGGAAAAAACTCGGTCATTTGTTGAAAACTTATAATCTTTGAAAACACTGATCAGCACATGTTCTGGTGTCCTCAGCATAAGAAGGACATGGAGCTCCTGGAACAAGTCCAGAGGAGGCCATGAGGATGATCAGGGGACTGGAGCATCTCCTGTATGAACACAGGCTGAGAAAGTTGGGGCTGTTCAGCCTCGAGAAGCTGTGTGTAGACCTCATAGCAGCCTTCCAGTATCTGAAGAGGGCCTATAAGGATGCTGGGGAGGGGCTCTTCATAACGGACTGCAGTGACAGGACAAGGGGTGGTGGGTTCAAACTTAAGGGAAGTTCAGGTTAGATATAAGGAAGAAGTTCTTTACTGTGAGGGTGAGGCATTGGCACAGGCTACCCAGAGAAGTAGCAAATGTTCCATCCCCAGCAGTGTTCAAGGCCAGGTTGGACAGGGCTTGGAGCAACCTGCTCTAGTGTGAGGCCTCCTTGCCCATGGTAGGAGGTTTGGAACTGGATGATTTTACGGTCCTTTTCAACCCTAGCTATTCTACGATTCTACATCAGCTGCTTCATCTTATAAAAGGAGTAACATGTTGTTCAAGGAACTGTGAGATGTATTTACATTACACACCTCTTGTTAACTCTCCAATACCAAATGACTGGGGAGATAATCTGACTAATACAGGAATCATTAGGAGATGCAGAAATATTTGACTGCAGGGATCAAGTGTTGCAGAGGCAGCTGGGTGTGCCTGAACACTCCAGGAGGGATCAGTAATTCAAGTCCAACATGAATCCAGATGAGTTTTACATATACAGTTAATATACCCACAAAATAAACTCTTAAAAGCATCAAGGAATGCATGCTGACGTGGGTGTGATTGCTTCTTTCTTTTCTGTCCATGACTGCAACATGTACCTGCAGCTAGGCTGGCCAGTACATACAGCTTGCTTTACACTTGCACAGTTACAGCATGTCAGTTACTTTCATAAAGAACTGTTTCCAGCCTCTGAAAAGGAACAAAATAAACCCAAAACAGAAACATTTCTGATCTTCTGCCTATAGTGGGTTTGATTAAAAGCTTATTAAAAGGAGTTAGGCCTGGTAATATAAAAAGATCTGCATGTTACTGCAAAATAAGAGAAGACATGAATTTAACACACATCACAGAATTATAGAATGGTTTGGTTTGGAAGGGAGCTTAAGGCCATCGTTTCTCTGTATTCCTCCCAGGTTACCTGTTCTTGCTTCCACAGTCTTCCACAAAAAAGGAAATAGGCTTCCATTTTGGTCTGGAATT